CTACATACATGCACGTACGATGAAACCTTGAGATTAATAGCAGCTATATATAACAAACAACCTCCTTCTCAAAATGAGTCAAGTGAAAAATATTTTTATTAAACTTCTGATCGTACAATATATAAATCATGGCTCCTTTTTATATCTATTTTAGATTTCCCTCCATTGACGGAGGTGGGCCATGCAATAAAAACCGCATTTTAGTATAAACGGCTGTATAAACTTAGGCTATATTATTATTCATTATTGATATTTATAACTGGAGTTATACATCTGAAGTGAGAGCTAGCAAGAAACTGATTTGGTCCGAAAATGCCTGGTCATTCTTGTTAACCTATAATTCACATGCACGCACGCAGCTATACGTAGCTATATAAGTTTTTTGTCGCCATGTATATATGGGACAATCTTCGTATGAATTATATATGAGGTAATGCCATTGTGGCCCCAATGACTGATTCATTGAGACAGCATTGCCAAACTTTTATATATGCATGTAAATTACCCCATGCTGACAAAATACGTAGCTTTACAATTAATGCCTGGTCCAGAATCTGCTTGAATCAGGTTTTGCCCCAGCAGGACAATTCCTTCCTAGTTGAATTTACGTCAAACACAGAAAACATGCAGCGGAGAAATATAATTTTTATTACTTTTCGATATTGCATGCTCAATATTCCAAATATAATATAGAAGAGAATACTTCGTAGATTTCAGAAAAAGCTAGGACTGGAAGTTGGAATGTATACATCATCTCGGCTTTGTATTTATTGCCGTTGAACTAAAGCCGAAAACTAAATGAAAAGATATGATACTAGAATTTTAATAAATAAAATAAACACAATTTAGGTCGCTGTGTGACATTGGGTGGCTTGCGATTGAAATTTCATGAAAATTGCAACAAATGAATATTATACGAACTAAAAGACAATAAAAATAATTAATACTTCACACAAGGAAGCACATTTGACAGGCAGACAAGATCAAAATTTTAAACTTTATAAACTTTATTGAACTACGCATGTATAGATATATATATATATGTATATATAGCAAGTCCATGCGATTTATAACTATATATTTTTGAGAATATGGTTATTCCATCAATCAATTTACTGAGAAACTATATATTTTACTCACGCGTACACTTATGCAAAAAATGCCCGAAACATGGCAAATATATATCATCAATGACAAAGATTGTTTTGCTTTTGTTTTTTGATAAATCATAAATAGTCATATAGCTGGCTTCTCGGGCTATAGTAAAGAGGCAATATTTTACACGATAACTTTTTAGTCTGCATTTGATCGCAGCAAAATCGCTTGCTATACCATGCGTGATGCGATCCTGGCTTGAACTGATATTGCAATGTTTCACATGCATGCATGCACGATGCCTTAAACCCGATTCTTGCATGATCTCTGCCTAAAAAATGTTTTCTCTAAAGTGCATGGACATGGTCTATACGACTATAGATACATTGAACAATTTTGAATATCGCAGGTAAGAAAAGTTTGTTTGAAATTAAATATTTAAGTGATATATTTAAACTAAACAATGAAGAAATCAGATTTTAAAAGCATTGTACACATAATATTTTGTAGTTTACATCTTATGCTGGTGCATACATAATATAAGCGATATTTTAACACCCATAAAGCCAAAAACTTTCTTGAGCTTTTCTAACAACCCAGATTGAAGACATACTAAAGCTAAGTTGCCCTCTTTGAACGAGGATTTTTCTACCATGATCATGCAGGCAAACCCGACAATGCATGCATTGCTAAATAGTAGTATAGTGTTGTTTTCGTATAAAAAATCTATACTCGGTCATATACTTTCATTATTCTTTCAATAAGGAAAGCATATCATGCAGATATATTCGGGCCTATATCACTTTATGTGCCTCCATCGGCACGGCGGCCGAATATCACATAAAACTATAAGAGGAAATATATTAGCCATAAAACGATGATTATATACTAAATATACCGATAAGATAGATTACTGACAACAAATGTTCTGCACAGATCTTATAACGCAATGCAATCATGAAATATAGAATTCAGCAGTAGTCACCATTCTATACTAACCTTTTTCATTTCATCTAAAGGCTTTAGGTTCAGTTATTCATGCAGATGCTATATTTAATGAAAACCATCATTCACGGACAAGTTCTTAAATATCTTTAAGTATATACATACACAAGGCTGCCCCCTTCAACACAAATATTACTATATATTATAATTATGAAACACAGCTCGTTGTATAAATTATTTCCTAAAGTGAGAAAGGTTTCATTGTCACAGCGGTATAGAGTGCAGCTGCTTTCAACGTCCTTCAATTAAAGAGCCATATTTGTTATCAAAAAAATGTTATGAACGACATTTTGCAAACATCCGTACACCAGGTTATGTTTATGTTAAAATCTTAATCAAACACCTTTATGAAAACTGAGGGAAAAAATCATATCACAATTTCAATACAGTGGAACCTTGGTTGGCGGCAAACCACAACGCATGCACACGAAAAATATCTATAATTGGACCCCCAGAACAATACTGAATATAGCTTCGGACGATACATGAAAACATCGGTTCACACATTAAACATACAATTTTTCTATTCAAAACTGAAAGCAAAAACAATAAAACGGTATTCTGAAGTTGTAACACAATGAATAATTTAAACACGTTGCCATTGGAGTAGGCAACGACGATATATTCGGACACTCGAGCATAAGTAAACATCTTTAAGGTTGGACATTTTTTCTTGCAACGCGAAAGTATGCAAATATAACATCGACGATGTCTAGGTCTATGTGATATTAACATGCACGTGTCCATAATATATCAAACTTTCAGTTTACACGCGAATTTCATGCGGGAGGAGGACGATCATAAAATACTTGTAAAACTCTCATGAATGTGCATGAGCAAATTAAACCAGCGCCGAATAGGTATCAAGCAATATCGTGCAAATTTAGTTACATGAAGATTATATTAAGTTAAATTAAGAAGAAAAAGGATTAGAGAGGTAGTGAAATACAACTTGTGGGAAAAATATCCTATACTAACAGGTTTTTAGCTACATGGAATATATTTTTTACAATATTATAAATGAAATGGCACGTGTCTCTAATTTTTCTTACCCTCCGTTAAGAAAAGGTCGTCATATACGTCTTATCCTTCCGTCTTGAAAATCTGTGGAATTACAGTCCTTTGTTGACAATAATAGAAGAAAATATATAGAGAATGAATTATTTTAATCAATTTATGATTATCTAAAGCGATTTTATAGGCTAGTTTCTTTTGCTATCAGATGATATTCATTTCAAGATCAATAAACTATATATGCAGGTGCGCGCGAAAACGAGGCCAGCCAGATAATATTTTTGACTTGCCAATTTAAATAAATAATTAATAGATAAACGTCCTGTAGGCTATAATATCTAATGAGGTGATCCCATCTCATTTGAACGTTTAATTAGACGAATGTAAGCAAGCGTGAAGTAGAACTGGCAGTTGCAACGAATGAATTGTCCGTGGCTAATAATTGAACATAACGTATCGATTTATGGTAAAGGATTGAGGCTTCGGCAGTTTGTGGCAGAGGGATTGCAGTCCTCAGGAAAAGTCCTTTAGCAATTAAGTTGTCGATGAAAGCCGGCGTAACAGAGAAATCAGCTGTCTTATACACACGCAGGAGTCGGCAGGGGAAAATTTGGGGTTTATTCACAGTAGTCACGCGACTATATATACCTATAGTCGAAAAATAGCGAGACAATGTCACTAGCATTGTTTTCGTGTAATTTGTAACCGGCCTTCACCGCATTTTCGTTTCGAATATAGCAAAATTGCGCAGATGTAAAAACAGTCGAGTTGTTAATTCATAGAGGTATAGTTGTATTTTATAACCAATTTAAAGCTACTCCAAGAAACCCAAATATCGTGTAGGCTTCGTAGAGCTGCGGTAAAGATCATCATGAATGCATGCATGACCTTTTTCCAGCTTGACCAGATCTTAAATTTCAAAAATTCCAACTTTTCGATTTGCAGGATTAAGAAGTATTCTGCCTAATGTATTCGCTGCGTAGTGTATTATTTAGAAACCTTCAGTACAATGACGGATCATAAATGTTACATAGTATATATATGTATATATGTATATATATAAATTTTAATTACTTCTAGTATCCTCGCATGGTAAGTCAACAGGTAGTCAAAAGGTCGTTCAAAAGACATTCATGCATGTTTATGTATAGCCGTTTATATGATTTATAACCACAGTTTAAACCATACAAAGTCATCGTTAGTTTCGCCGCCCAGAGGTCCATGCAAACCGGTTTATAAGTGGCGTTGCCGTCTTTGATGTTGTTAGCGTATTAACGTTAAAAGCACATGCATTAATAAGATTAGCATATATCTCCGCGTTTATTGAAAAGGCCCATATCATAAGTATTAAATGAACTGCACGGTTTGCCTTGGGGTATAGATAGATACATATACCAACAATCGCTAAAGGCATTATTGCATGTGATGGCTCGGGGTGAAGCTGATCTTAAAATTCCTCAAAACCAGTCAGCAACTCACTTGTTTCCCCCAATTTTAGCGCTATGCCTATACCCTGCTTGCACCAACTTCGCTTTCGCTTCGAAGTACAGGCTCGGTGCCGAATCTCACAATTTCTTATTACTCAATAGCAGCACAAGTTTACAGCACCAACTCTATTATATCTTATAGCTATTGTTCGTGCATGTTGATCAAGTTGATCATCAGTTCTCTGAAGTCTGACGTGCCCGTTCCTGCTGACCTAGGCCCCAGGCCGCCTGTATAAAGATATTGTGCATTGCTAAAAAGATTTGTTTACGTGCACTGTGCAAACTATCCCGGTTCCCAACGCACGTTGGGTTCATGTTAACACACATGAAAAAACTAACTGGGTCGAAGCCAGGCTAATTTGGAAGTGTAAACAATGCCATCTTTCATGCTAGTCTTACCAACTACTTCACAAACATGTCCACGATAAAACGGTCTTGATTTCGACGCTGACAATCCTGATATATTCAGGGCAATCGACGTTAATAATAATGAGTTTTCTACAGTTTTCGACATAAACATTTGATATGGGAGTCCACACTGAGTGATAAATATTTATATATCAAAAACATTAAGCGCAAATTAGCATATAAATGACAAAGTGTTAACATGCGTCGTAAAATATATTACATACTGCTGTAAAACTGCTAAACATGTCTAAAAATATAAATGCATGCAATATTATCAATTGTTTTTCTGAAACATATAAGAAGTAATATCATAACAATAGGAAATAGAATAAATTAAGCGCTTTTATGGAACTTAGTGACTAGTGAGATGCACAGCAAGGCACATTTCATCATTTGATTGATCATTGATAGGCTCCACCCTGTTTTCAATTATTAATAATGGTAGAAATAAAGGTGGGATCTTATTTCGGAGGGATTCACAGGCTGCCAGTAAAGCTTTAAAAAGGTCTTACGTGCACAAATTTTCATGGCTATATATAGGTAGTTCTAAACTTTATCATTAATATTTGTTCAAACTTCCGAATCTTATGTTTTGGGAAATAACATGGTTTATTCAGCGCAATTACGGATTAAATTGTTCATCATTTCAAAATTGTTCCGCTGACTTAGGCCTATGTAAATGAGCTCAAACAAAGGCTTTAATCATTTTGCATTAGGTTTGCTGCGGGAAAAGAGCGCTCATTTCAAACAATCAGAGTACATATTTTTGCATGTGGTCTTGTGGAAATATTTTCTTGCAGAAGTAGAGTTGGACTTCAAGCAATCCAAATAAACCTGTTAAAAGCAGACACTGAAAAATGTACTGCAAACCACGATTGAAACTGACAAGCATATTTCTTTCACAATACTATCCAATTCCTGCAGTTTTAACAATTTAGATATTATTGTTTTGAAATGGTTTCTGCACTTCATGTTTCGTTGTAATAAAAAAGAGTATGGGAGACGAATAAAAAATGATACCATATTGTTATTACCTCAATTCTTTAACGTTACATAAAAATGCTTTATTATATAAACTCTTTAAAATTCTTAAAAAATTCATTTTAAGACTAGTCAATTAATAGTCGTCAAAGCTAAACGGATCGTTTGGAGTCAAACATGCAGAAAGTAGTTTACTTCTTCCATTTTTATTTTGCTTGACGACCGAACAAACACTCCTTCGTACCCTACTCTCGGATTTTGCTCGTTCCTTCCGTTTCTTACCCGTGTTTGTAATTTCAACAAAAGGCGACGACTGCAATACATTCTTACGTTTTCGACCAATGGGTCCCACCAGTGGTCGCACTGGTGAATCCCCTTCCGAGACAAGTAAATCGTGCTGCAGAAGACTTTCACAAATTGCACGATTAAGTTTGACGCGTTCTGCAACAGAAGAGCGAAATGAATCGCTCACTCCAATTTCTAATGTGAGCCCATTTTCCTCTTGCGCAACTTGTTCGCCGTCGGAAGCAACTGATAGCCGTTTGCATTTTCTTCCCGTAATGGATTCTTCTTCTTCATTAAGGATTCTTTTTCTCTTAGTAGTTGCAGTTGTCGCACTCGCGCCCTCGTCTTTCCCAACACAACCAGCAGAGATGGCATGTACATTCATAAACGTGAGAGAAACTTGCATTTCAGTACTACATGCAATTTCACTACAACCTGCTGGTGCGTCTGATTTAGGATCAAATACATTCTCGTTCTCATAATCCCCATCCTCTATTTGATCAACACTGTGATTTATATCTTTATAAACATCACCGAGTGATGAGCCAAATGATGAATATATACGTAAGCCTGACGGTAGAAACTCGATATCCTCCGAACAAGACGAGAGCACACTGTATTCCCCGTCTAAATTACATGGTGTGATTGGCGAAAGTTTGCAGTCACCTACAGCACTTTGTCTTCTTCGAGCACTGCGTAAAGTCCCTGACTCCTCATAAATTAAGGCACCAGGGCACATTGCAAAATTGTTGTTGGAAACCTTTTTGGACGGTGTTTTAAGACGTGGCGAATCCTTGGAATGCTGCATTTCTTCATCTGTATCACCAACTTCACATCTGATTTCTCTGTTTTCTCTTAATTTTTCTTCTTCGTTTCTTCCACGTCTATCAGCCTCTTTCCACGAACTCTTGTCATTATCAGTATTTTTTAACATGTCGTTGTTTTCCCTCTCTCTATTACTACGATTCTCAATTATATTGTGTTCCGACACCGGTACGCTTGTTTGATTTCTGTCACCTATCTTGTTAATCGATTCTCTTTTCCGTCGTTTGGTCCCGCTGTTTCTTTCTTCGCACTTTCTATCCTTGGTATTGGCAGAATATTTACATTTATTTGCAAATTTTGAATTCTGGTTAGAGGTCAATGATTTCTCTTTTGCTTCTTTCAACGGCTGTTCTCCATTGTTTTTCTCTTCAACTGTTTGACTCCTCAACCTATTTTTCCATTCAATTCCATCATTCTCTCCTTTTTGAGATAAATGAACTTTAGTTTCACTTTCGTTTTCTTTTTTCCCCAAAATGGGCGAATTTAAAATCGATTTTCTAGTTCTTGATGATCTCCGAGGTGAAATATTGTCCTCGTTCTTCATCTCTCCTAACACTGCGTTGGAATTATCAAGCGTCCCATTTGTTGAACTTTCTAAATTTTCAAAATTATTGAGTTCCTCCATGTTACCGACTTCAGTTGATTTTCCTTTGTTTCCCCCAATATAATCGTTGCTTTGTTTTAGATAATCAATAGTATTCTTCGATTTATTCGGCGACTTATGACTAGCTAATTCGATCTTTTTGCTTTCACACGGGGATGAAAGGTTAGAAGCTTTCTGCAACCGTGTAACTGGTCTCGACTTTCGGTTTTCCATCTCTTCTGCGCCAGTATTTGGCCGAGGCTCTGTATTTTTAGCTTTTCTCGTTGTTGGTGAAGAACGTACTGAAACATCAGCTGTTTCTTGAATACTGCCATGGCCTACAACCACATCTCCCACGAGTGCCATCTTTTCATGTTTTTCGTCGTTGTTTAGATTTTCTTCGCTTGGAAGTTTGGGATTTGAAACTTTATTCCTATTTCGTGGGGGAACGCGAGGTGATGACAACAAAAAGATGTCATCATCAAGCGAGTCACCAGTGTCATCACAGCTGCAAGGAACACGAGGAGAATTAACAAGCCGTAATTCGTAATTACAGTTGCACATACAATAGAGAACACACCTCGTAGATAAACTGCTCTGTTCCTGAGTAAGATCAATGTTTAAAAGACTGCTTGATTTCTTAAGATGAACTTCTTTCAGAAGATTTTCAATTTTGAGACCTTCATCAATGGCTTTGTCTAAACTCGTATAATTCGAACTCTTCTTTGAAAACTCTTTGTGTTGTTTACCTCTCAAGTGCTTAAAAAAGAAAAAATATACAAGGCGTGATTTTATCACAAAATTATTCATATTTATATATAGTATAATAAGATATCAACAAAGATTTACATACTGTGTGTAGGAGGTCTGTGAGGTCTAAATAATATACTAACCATATTCAAGTCATTGTACCGAACTTCACAGCATTCACAATACCCATGTTTAGGGCGCTCATGTATTGGCAGTTTCCTATAAAACGCACAATTATGTACAATGTGTATTTATTTATTCCTTAAACTATCGTGGCATGAGACATAAAACAAGACGTAGTTGAGAGACAATTCATTGCAGTATTTTCAAATATTTTAGCTACATTTTACTTACTTGACATTTCTTTCCCCGATCTTTCGCTTGGTAACACTATTCTCAGACGTTCTTCCTCTTGGAGGATCAAAAGGACAAACATTCAAACCACAAAATGTAATTTCTGGCCAAAGTTTGAATTCGTGAAAAATAGGTCGATATTTGAATCCTAGATCTTCAACTTTGATGTAGGTCTCTCGCAATGCTGAAACTTTTGGAAGTCTTGTTTGAGATACACGTTTGGAAGGTGACGTCTTTTCTTTTGTCATACGTTGCTGTTTAGTTTTTAACATCAACTGAGAAACCCAGTTCATGAGATGATCAACGTGAAGGATATTCACACCCCAGGTACTGGCAATTGTTAGGATATCAGTAGATCCTTTCTTTAGCCCTGCAGATCTTTGTGCAATTGATTTACCTCTCATGGTACCACTAGGTACCTGATCCATAACTTGAGGAGAATCTGTGCTCATCGCCGATGCAGTTCCATAATTTTTTATTGATGAGCTGAAGTTAGCAATAACAGTTGTAAAATAGAAAGACTGTCTTGTCTAATTTGCACAAACTTTGCAGGTACAGTAAGGTCAGAAGATGGTTATTTGATACATTGTTTTGTGCCATTTGTGTTTTTTCTGCCAGTTTTTAAAAACCATGTTACCTCAAACTCTTTTGTGTGGTAGATTTAAAGATGTAATAATATAAATCATGGTTGAAGTTTTGAGGCTTTTTACTGTTTTTTTGAGGAGTAATTGATCAGTGTTGTAAATAATAAAAGTAATGTTGCAGTTATTGCAAGACCGAGAAGATAACATAACTAACATTAGCAGCAGACCTGACAATAAGATAAAGAAGTAATAGTCCAGGAAATACTATAAAAAATACAATATATTTTGTGTGTTGTACCTTCTTGTTTGTGTTATTGGACTTGGTACTCCTGGACTGGGTGTTGATTGGCTGCTTGGAGATTTTCCACATTCTGCACGACTTGTAACAAGGTAAGTTACTTCCTTCCGAAAGAATTCTTCAATCGTCTAGATTTTAATATTTTAATATATATAAAACTTGAAATATAAGCACAAATGCAGGTGTTGATGCACAACCATAGAGTTGAGGTTGATCTTACCCCACCAAGTTGTCCAATTGCCTTTTTTAACTGGTTTGAATAACGGGAGCCATTAAGATCAAGATAAAATAGTTTTCCAGTAAGAGGTCCAGGCTTTTTTCCTTTGAAGGGGAAATCCAATTTGCGCTTTCCTTTGGGACTGAATTCTTAAAAGAACATGTTACACATAATAAATGATAAGGAACTATAATTGAGGATCACTTAATGTTTTCTTGTCAGGGACCGCATAGCATTTTTATATTGGGGGGCTCATGGAAAATAAATGCATAAGTCGACTGGCGCTATGATTGCCATAGGTCACCCAAACGTTCGGTCTGCAAATTATTGGGGGGGGGGTTGAAGCCCCTAGCCTACTCCGGCTCCACGGTCCCTGCATGTGTATATATAGCCTGGAGGTTTGCATAAAAGCATGGTCAAAAGTAACATACGAAAGGGCTAAAGATAGGCTATGCTCACACAGGAGCGAACAAATTTGGACCATGCTTGAATTTGTGCGGTTCAGGTGTCCACATTGTGGAAACCGAATGAAAATTTGACCAGTTCTTCCTGTTCACACGAGGAAACCGCACAAGTTCAAGCACGGTCCCGTGTGAACGTAGTCTAAGCATTATTTTGATATTGGCAAATAATATACATAGTGACGCAGCACAGTCTTCGGGACACAGTAGCAACGCCAACGGAGTAATTAAATGCCTTGCCTGTTTAAATGTACACCATGTGTAGAAAAGTAAGAAAAAACGGAATAACCATTTATACAATACGCTCCACAGCTGTATAGAAGTATATCCTATCTCAAGGATACATTACAACACTTTTACTTACTAAATTTGTTTTTAACCTCGTTGGCAGAAGGAGTCTTGGTGCGTCTCGGACTGTGTCGTTCACGGTTGCCAAGCTTTGATTTGGCAACATTCACATTGGATCGACGTGTAGACATTACTTTTGTGAATATTTCCAATTTAGATTACACCAAATATACAAAGCCCAAAGAAAAGGTGGTTTAAAATACGGAGAAACCAAATATTTTATCTATATACAACGACAACACACAATACGATGACAGGAAACTATAAAAGCGTGTCTTGTTTAGAAATTATGTTTACGCGGGAAATACCAGCATTCTTCGCGGTCAGCATTAGCCGAGAAACGTAATGGCGCCAAGCCACGCCCATGACAACGCCACGGCCGCCTGTCGCTGGCCTGGGACAGGGCGACCCAAAGGTGACCCGACTGCATATTAGGAATAGTAAAATAAATTGCCACTGCCATTAGTGCCATGGTAAAATTTAAATGGGAAACAAGTAATAATCAAGGCTAAACACAACACAAAAGCATCTGGATTACGCGATTCCTCCGCTGATCAGTGGAGTGAACTCTAAAACGTTTATTAGAGTTCACCAACACTGGAAAATGATTTTAGGCGAAAATTTGAAATGCTTTGTGGTTGTTCAGTTTTTACTGATATGCCTACCACACTCCCAACATGAATTTCACTCATTTCTTTGGGTCAGATATTTCTCGGTAGGTACCTTGTGCTCGGTCAATAAGATGTTGTTATTTAATGCAATGTTTAAATCGATACGACACGGTTTGAAATTAAAATCAGCGAATCACTACCTCCAAGACTCTGTTATACTTTTAGCCTATCATATAGTTCGCCGTACTAAAGTCTATGGTTATGTAATCAATCCTAACTATGCTAAAACTCCAAGCAATGTATACTCAAGGCGTATCAGTTTGGTGTGGTGCTACACGCATTTGGAAATGTTTAAAAAATCGAACGGACGTTAATTATGTAATTATTTTATAGTCATTTTAAATTTTATTGTAATTATTAATTTATGTAATTAATTTATGTAATTAATTTATTGTCAGATGTTTTCATGTAACATTAAGATGGGGGATTCCACTTGGACATACCTCCTCTAAACTTAGTTGATTAAAAACAACGGTTGAAACTTGAACACGAACGTTAAGTGAGATTAGCAGGCTAATAGTATGTTAATAAATTTAGAAGACTGGCACTCGTACTGCACTCAAACAGTCACACGTCCTAACGTGTTGCCGGGCTATCAGTATATCAGTATAGCCATAGGCTTCTAATATATTATCCCAAGTGTTGGATCGCCAACTATAAATATACAATTATTCATTAAAGTATAATTATTCATACGTTAGATATATACGAATCCGTCTCAACGGCAACGGATGTTAACCGCATGCGTTAGTTTGACCGTCAAAATCCAAACTCTTTGATTTCTATTCACATCTGTGATTTCGTTATGGGCGCAGGAGCGATCTAACTAGTCTTAGTTATCTTAACTTATATTACATGCAAGTTTTGTTCTCGACAAGTTACGAATTCTTGTCGGGTCTCATATATCGAGTGTGGTATGTTCAATGACACAGCTTTGACAATGTTCTCTTATGAATTCATATGTATCTAATGTGATACTACAATCTTCGACATTCAGATAATGAAGTAAGCAACATTGCGCAACAACTGCTCGTATACCAACATCGGTAAGGTTTCGACAACCTTTAATACTTAATCGCTTCAACTGTGGGCAATGGATGCCTAAAGCACTCAATGTGTTGTTCGTTATTTCACATTTACCAACATCCAAAGATCGTAGCTTGAGGCAATTTTGAGCGACGTACACCACTCCAGCATCAGTAACACCTGTACAACTACGGACGTTCAAATATCGCAGATTGCTGCAACCTTTGGCAATCATTTTGATCCCAGCATCTGTTACGGCACACCGCATTAAACTCAAGTATCTTAGTGACGGACAATATCTGGATATTTCTTTTAGACTAAAATCCCTCACTTTATGACAATCACTGATACTTAGTTCACGAAGTGACGTACAATGACCTGCGAGATGTTGCATTCCTACATCAGTCACCCTTGGACAACGTCTCATGTGTAATGTTTCCAGACGTTTACAGGTAAAGCCTAACATTCGTAAGCCTAGATCATCCACAGCGACACAGTCACTGATATCCAAGTATGTAAGGCGAAAACACGTGTCGTTACTGGACTGAATATTTGTAATCATACTTTGGCATATACTGTTGATACAGGAACAGCCACGCACATCGAGCCACGACAAACGCAGGCAGTTTTCCAAAACATTTTGAACTCCACGGTTCATAATACAAGGACATGCCAAAATCTCTAGTTTCTCTAAGTCAATGCAATACTTTGCAATGTAACTAAGACCTCTGTCCGAGAGGCATTCACACTGAACGATTCTTATATACTGGAGTGTTAGACACAGACCTTGAGTACTCCGAGCTAACCTGAACAGAATTGTGTACAAAACTTTGTCAATGTTGCTTCCAGAATACTTTGAAATTTTCATACTTCGCCAAAGCTGTGGGTCCCAACAAAGCATATGCCATTTCTTGCACACGCCAGAAGCAATACAGAGATACTTCGTGGGCAAATACGAGAAAATGCCAAGTAAGATATTTTCTGACAGGCTGTTTATATCTGTTGGTGTGGTCCTGGCCTCTGGAACAAGGTGTTGAAAAATACTTAGTCGTTGTCTTAATCTCTCTTGAAGAGACTCGTTTGCATGTGGGTTTCCTTTCGAACATTTCGTCAAAAATTGCTCAAAATTTTCAGGTTTCAATTTGAGATGATTAGGTTGTTCATTTGGGTTCATTTGTGCTTGTTCACTGCTATCGTTACTTTTCTCACTATTTCCTCCAACACTGGTTGAGTAATCACTGGACCAAAAACTTTTATCTGATGTCGATGAACATCTGTTTTCATCATCATTGACTTGATATGTAGAGGTGTATGAGCCTACAGCTCGACGGGGACTACGGAGCGGGGGATCATCGACAGATTGTTCAACAAGTTCTTCTAAAAATCCATTTGTTTTTGTAAAATCTTTCTCCTTTTTTGCTGCCTGTCCATCACTGCTCAACGCGAGACGCAAACTTCTTCTGTATTCGCTCAGATCTCTCGTTGGTTTTGAAGATGATTTATTCACGGCTTTGGTCGAAATTGGTGGCTTACCCGTTGCCCTTGTCAACACAGACGACGCACTGGCAGCAGGACTCTTCCCACCGCTATCAATAAGGCGTTCTCGTGTTTGGATACTTAAAGTCCTCTGAGGTGTATTACTTGATAAAATTTTATCTTCATCTCTATTTCTAGAACTTGGATCAAATGTGACTCGGTGTTTTCTTGCTGTTTGGACCTGATCGGGACTTTTAAGGCAGCTCATAGACATATTGTTGTTCCTGTCATCATTATTATATACTTGGTTGAAAGACTCTAAACAAGTTGAAATAAATAAACTTTATTTTAGAATCATTTTCAAAACCATGGGAGATCAGTGGAGTGGGTACAAGTGGTTTAACAACTGCAAAATAATGGATACCCCAAAAAACTACAGCCACTGTTAGTTTACTAGGGGTTTGGGAATAGCTAAAAAAGAGAGCTAAAAAAAAGAGGTGAGAGATCTGCAATAATCCACCACAGGTTTACAGTGATCATACAGTTAGGGTGTGACCCTCCCCCCCAAAAAACATGACCACTGGTTTATGGCAGGTTCCAGTTTATCATGAAAATGGAATGTTAACACAAAGATATCATCCACTGCACCATACTTATTTGCCTTCATGTCTTTACCAAATTCCTTTTATCCACCCTTTATCTAGTAGACTATGTGGCACTGACAAACAGATAATAAATCATCTTTTTTAGTTTATCAAAGGCTGGACATGTAATCCTAGACTCATTTCTTAAGTGGTCCTACGAAATTAATTTTTTAAAGAGGAATTTTTCCTAAATAGAAATCTTAACAGAGCATTTGCATAAACTGATGACATCAGCTTGTAAATAGAAATACTATTAATATACAATAAAAAGTGATAGAAGCGAAAACAAACAGCTTCATACAACATAGTGCAACCAAAAACGCAATCTATAGTCAACCATGCTAATTTAACACATTTAAATCACCAACTTGTATAAGCACCACATGACCCTGGTTAACCGACCAAAAGCTCTTCATATAACAAATACACAGGGTTTATTACAAATTGATAACTTAAATCATAAATTCATTATGCAAAACTTTAAGAACATTATAACTTAGTATATACAATTTGACCAAATGAAAATAAGGACTTCAATGTTGGAAAGGGTTTACTTAGACAAGTAAAGAATCACTGCTTGTTGATATGCTAATAATCACTTCTAGCATTTCAATAGCAGGCCTTACAATGGAATAGTTAGCTGTTGTTTCAGATTGTAAACAATGTTTTGTTGCAAATGAATTTCATCAAATTGTATTAACCATTGACATTTACTTGCCATCATTTATCTCATATTAAATGCATGTAAATTGAAACACCATGTTTCCACCAGAGAGCTAGTGATTTTTACAGTGTTATGAAATCATAATTATAAAGCAGAAAATTGACTCCCAAAGAGAAAACTTTGATAATTTTGGTATAATAATATATAGCCTACTTCCCACCCAGTTCATTGCCCAATTTAAATTTATCAATTAAAAACATGATTCATCGCATGTGTTAGGAGAAATAAATACATGGTACCCAGCATATATAACCATATAGACAGCATAGGATATCAACAGTGTTTTATTTTATTCCCCCTTTTGAGGTTATTTTTAAAATATCTTTTACCATGTTTATATAATTAAGCAAAGGCTATCATAGCGAAGCATTGACAATTATTTCTAAATTCATCTGTTAGTAATACCATTTCCGACTAGGAGGGAACGTGTAAACAATGAGACAAATGTAAATAAAATTTACAAAATATTCATTCGAATCTTATGCCAAATAACATCTAATGAACAGGCATGGGAAGTGGGAAAGCCTGGCGAATTGTTCTTTCTGTAACGCTTGTCTTTATCAACATTTTAGTCGCCAATCGGATTCGTACAAGAGATATTAAAATTATAAGTACAAAGTTTAATTGTACAACACTGAGTATTTCTATTCCGTAAATTCCCCTCGTTCAACATTTGTGCACGTACATGGTATGTACAAGACTCGTGAGACAAACTGTTTGGAATGAGATCTTCGCCTTTAACAAGTTGGAATCTCTATTTTGTTATCCATTTGGCAATCTTAGCAATTGACTTTATAATCTCGGAATCCGAAAATCCAAACAAGTGTCGCACTTTCGATAAAAATTCCATTTCGAAGCAAACAGAAGATCCTGATTACCAAATACTTTTCCATCAACAATTCTATATTTATAGTATGTATTGTGCATATATAACTCACTAAACTCGGCAGGACTCAAAGCACCAGATTTTCACTGGTATTGTCGCTTAAGTTGAAATCATTGCATATTTGTACGGGATGCTTTCTTTTATAAATAAAGTGTAGACTAACCTTGTGTACTTCGTGATTCTCCTGACTGACTTTGCCCCATTATTCTAGCCTACAACTCCCGCAAACATATCGCTTCCCTGCTCAAATTATTACGACGAATATGTGCTTTGCATTTTTATAAAGTAATCATATAGCTGTTGTTTCATCGCGGGTCACATCGTCACATCCACATTATCCTCTGCGCATACTTCGTTTTTGAATCATCAGTATAATTTATGCATGGTATATATTAACTGGCGACTTTGTACAGCGATCGCAAAGCACTGGTACCCGATCAGGTAGGTACCATACGACACCGCGGAAATTGGTATAGGCTTAGCCGCAATTCTCGATACTTAGACTTCAAACTTGGTGAGGAAAAAGATTTATAAATATTCAAGAAAATATGTCTTGCACAAAAGATTTGAAGCTTGCTCACGGTAAAAACGAATCGTCTGAATTAATAACCTTGTGTATACTTTAAGCCTCAAAATGGCCATTTCACAGCGGTCAGATGTGTATGATGAGCTGTCAAAAGATTGCAGAATGCGTATTCAGAAGAAAAATTGAACTTTTTTAAGATATTCAAAAGGTTTCTCTTTGATAGGGCGATACAGAAATGCACAATTGTGAACCAGCGATTAGATTTTCGGGTTGAAACGTCTTAAACACCAATTTCTGCGGTGTCGTACCATACCGGATAAACTGTATTGCACGATTTTTTTAAACTAACACCGTTTTACGTGTTTTGTATTTTAAAATGTATTTTTTATGTATCAAATAAAATGGGCTAAACATACCCCTTGCTGTAAATTGTGTACTTAATTATTTTCCCACGGATATGACATTTTTAGCCACGCAGACAATGATAGTCAAGGTATGAGTGTTGAAAACTAAACACGCGTGACAAAGTAGGCGTTTCAAAGCTCAGGAAGCAGGTGGCTTTATCCATCTAGAGTAAGAGTTATCGCAAAAATGCACGCTTACCAATATTTTTGCTCCGAAATTTTACTCCAGTCAGCAAAAATAACAATAAACATAAATTTCTTTAATTCACTGGCAACAACAAGCTCCTCGTCACAAGAGCGTCAGATTTAATCAGAGATAATAGCAAAATAGCTAGTTTGGCGCCACTAATTAAATGAATGATTGAACGATCAACCGTGCCAGAACTGGTGAGCACGATTGATATACTGAAAAAAACGTTGGTACAAAGTCAATATTGTCATATAACATTATAAGATTGTTATGATAAAATGACATTTGTAGAAGAGTGTTTAAGCACGTTTAAGAATCAAGGAAGCTCTTCTGCGCGTGGGGGCATGGGAATGTGTAGGCAGAAAGGCAGGGTCACCGGAACGGGGGCAGCTGCTCCTCTTGAGTCTTGCTTTTTTTCAGCAGGGGCAAGGAGGACAAATGAGACTTCAATTTGAAGGATCGTACTGGAATTCCTTAACAAATCTACCTTAGGCAACACACAGCTAACGAGTTTCTGAGTAACACAATTGTCTGGCGGAAAACCCTTAGACATGGAAATCATTAATCATGCAACAAAGAGAAAATACGATCAAACAAAGTTCAAACGCCGATGTTTTGCAACACTCTCTAGTATGCGTGACGAAAGAAGTGCCCTCACACAAAATTTGCCTTCTTTGCCTTCGCGTCTTTCCGGAGACCCTGTGAGCAAAAAATAAAACAACGCGAAGTGAATATGTGTTTATGGTAGCAAGTATCAGTTAATGAAACGATATCACAGTTTCCGGTTGTGCTTGTGTGGTAGTGTTCTCCAAACACTATAAAAATAGCGCCTGATGAATACCTGTATTGCAACATTTCTGCACCGGAAGTAATCAATTTATTGCTACATTGAACACGAAATCACAAGCGTCGTGGTACATTGTAGTGGTACTGGATAATATGTCCGGGCTGGCCTGGCAATACAGCTCCGGCTATGTAACCTATGGCAATATATACTGATTCCAAATGCCTTTTCTAAAACTAAGAAACTCAGTTGATGCAAACCAGCACCAAGGCATTGTTTAATATGTGAGATAAATCCAAAGAAATCATGCAGTAAAGAAAAGAAAAAAATTCTCATGATGCAGTTTGGAGGGGGCGCGGTCTCTGCTTGAAAGTCGAACATACAATTGACCAATTCAAAATTACATAAATTTCTACCTTAGAGTTAATCCGAGGGCTTTTATTATAGCCCTGGGGAGAGCCGCTTCTCCAGTTAGACGACAGTTATTTATTATTATTTGATTTGGTTAGTCAAGACAGATATTTACCGGATTTACACCAAATGCTACACTAAAGATAAAATCGTGTCTGTTATTTTCGTTGAGATTACTACATGCATCGCTTTTAACTTTCCAACAATTAGAACAAAAATTATATATCGAAGTGTTTAATCCGTCTTCATGAGGCCAGGGACGACTGGGACGTTGCCTCTTCTTCCCCCCCCCCCCACATATTTTTTCACTTTTACATATGCATATCGCTCCTGAATGATTTGATCTCTTAGATATGCTTGTATATTCTTGCACTAAACCCATGACCCATTTGAATTGTTAACTCAGTATTCATCTTTTATATCAAGTACTGGTACCCAGTTTTAAAAGCAATGGGCATGGAACAAACTAATAATCACTATGACAAGAAATATATTTGTGCGCCTTCATTTACATTTATCTGCATGTATATTACTATTTTCTCATGGTTTGAACCTGCATGTCATTGCTTATTCGAATGAGCTACTTCACATAACAATCATCGCTGATCTCACGTTGCTACTGTTGGGAAACCCAGCTGTTTCCAAACATCAGAGCCCAGTGAATTAAAATTGCATGCATGCAACTGCATAAAATTCCTCCGTTTCATTTAGTAACGTTACTTAGTTCAGAAAACATGAAATGCAAAGGTGTATGCATGCAGTTGTTATTTAGGTACAAGGTGTTCCTGTCTTATGATATCGTTATGTATTTCCTGGACTCATCAGTCATAATTGTCATTGTTATCAATATCAACATCTGAAATCTCCACCAAAATTTTCAACAAAATAGCTATCTTGTCAATCGATCCAGCGTTTTACTTCAAAAACACTGCACGCTATCGACGACGTAATTATATATAAAGATTATAGCGGTATAATTAATTTCTATCGATAAGGACCAGGTGAACTACAGTTAAATATGGAAGGGGGTGAACCAAACGTTATATAGTTAATAGAGTAAGACACTGATTGGCAGAAAATCATTCTAGACAATGTAGAAATCTTAATTCTACAGCGTTACAAATGAAAAATGATTAAACTCATCTTTTCATCTGAATATCTGTGAAGCCACACAGCGATATACTGAGGAGGTCAAGCATGCATGTGTATATTATCTTGGTTTAATAGTCTTTCCTGATTTGGTTGTTAATTTGTCTCCAATTATGGAATCAAAGTCTAAATGTCAAGATTACAAGATACTGCAGTTCTATAGTTTAATGGGCACCAAATGACTGAAATGGCTACTTGAAATCAATTGCATATCTATTCGCACTTTCCCCTTACACAATTGAAGGTGTTGCAACCAACAATTCAGTAAAAGGTAATAAGGTCATCAAATGCTATTTGTTCGCTGTTCTGAAGGCGGGAATTTTCTGATGTATGTGCATGATAACTATTCGTTCTTCAAACTATCAAAATTTCTTTGTATTCTCATGCATAGTTCTGCAGAACTATAGGCTGTATCAACTTCTTTGGATTCTTATAGGGACTTTCAACTTTGCCTTTTAGGCGCAAAATATGCTATCAGCACAACGATCTTTCGGAAAAGTAAGGAATATTCAAAACGATTAATAGAAAGTATACTACTGCGGTGTATAAAAACGTTTTGCTGGCTCATAATAATTAACGTTTTCCACCAAAACGTACATGAAAGTCAAAAAATAGATTATATTTGATCAGTTTGAGAAGGTTGACTTCCCTTATGTGACCAAAATAGAACAAGGTGTAGAAGCATTTCACTCAGTAAAGCATATCTTAATGTCATGTTAATTAAGTGAATGGTATTTCAAATTCGTTTCCCTCTGGTTTAAAAATTGCCGTCAATGAGTGATATATCATAAAGTATTCATCATCAGGACTATTGTGGATACGATCAAGGTGCGTATAGGAAACAGAGGAAATGAGAGACTTTTACTGACGGTTTTTTCAAAAACCTCTTGCATATACCTCAGTAAATTAAAGCAAAAATATATTTGTCGATCAGAACCTAATCATAAAACCAAGCACCATGTTTTACGACTGCATCATGCACACATTTAACTGCTTTAAAAATGGTATTCAAAATATTTCACAGAGGCAAAGAAGTATAGAGTGTGATTCTAAACTAAATATAACCATTTTTCAAATTTCACTTCATATCCTTTCCTGTTGACTTATTGTGAATATTTCTTCTTATTTTGTGTGATATGGCCAAGTCATTCTGCATTTTGAATATCCTGAATGTGGGAACATTTCCATTTAGACGTAGTTGAATGAATAACTTCATCTTCTTCAGTCTCGCCAGGAATCTCAAGCTGATCTAATTTATATTCACCGACTTGTTCACATCCTACATCGAACTGAAACTTGCCAGAGCCCACAGTCAAGTCGTCCAGAAACTTTCCGAGGAAACGGTGATTGGAGTGGAGTATCTCCCCAGATCCCTGGCGTCTACCTCGTACCCACATACCTAACAACAAGAATGAAGAAAACTAAACAACAGACTCGCAAGCCAAGGCTTTGTCGGGAGATAAAAAAACATATCTGGAGATAGTTATTGTTGTGTCTACACGTACTTTACTTCAATGTACCTAACCGTCATTACGACAATTGAAAACTATCATAGCGTTGCAAACAGCAAACATAGATATCATAGTATTCATAAAACAAACCATAATGGTTCAGCATGGTTCATATTGTACCTTTATATTTTGTACCAGTTGCTGCATATGAGTACGTTCCCTGGCCATGTCTTTGATGCTCGTACCAGTCTCCTTCGTATACATCACCATTAATGTAAAAATATATTCCAAACCCATTTCTTTGATGGTCAATCCAACCACCTTCATACCGAGAACCATCTGAAATAAAATACGGCTTACATGTTGTGGTCTAGCAGTACTCAATTTTACCTGACAATATTTTGAAAGATGACAATATAAAGGTCAAAAAATAAAACAAACTGCATATAGTTCTAATTATAAATTATTGACAACGACAATGGTGAATCTGTATCTTAAAATGGCTCTTGTAGGTTTAGAAATTGCCTCAAACAGTGTGAATACTTGTACTATTTCAGCCAGGTTACTATCGTTTCAAGAAAACTTTACGAGCCATTACGAGCAACACACCTGGATACCAAAATGTTCCATGACCGTGTCTTCGCCCGTTGGAATACTCGCCAACATATTTTGCAGAATTTCTAAAGCGATAAGTTCCGTTTCCACTCCTTTTTCCGTTGTGATATTTTCCTTCGTATGTGTCACCATTTGGAAATGTTGCTTTGCCTACACCATGTCGTTCATCATTGTTGTTGCGACCACCTTCATATTCCTGAGAAAATATTGAGTTAACTTAAACCTGTATGTCAATAGACGTTTCTTCCCTGGCTCTGTGTATCTTGTTTTATAATCTCAGAACTTAACCGATACTAATCTATACAAATTATGGCGAAGATGCAACGCTGTCTTTTTGCACGATCAATAGGTAATCTGGCATTGGATTGAAACGAGAAGTTGTTGTATATTTCAGGCAGATGTTGATCTTTTCCAGAGGCTGGCCTATTCACGCAGCTCCTCGATTCTCTTGAGATAAAAAAGATGCACGTTTTAATACTTACACCAATGTTAATGCCAGGATCTTCCTCGAATTCAGAATCAACATCAGACATGACGACTGTAGTACTTTATTTAGAAAACAAAACGCGAAACGACAGTAATAAATTTATGCTCAAGCAAAACACAATTTTTGTGTTTCTTCGCTATGACAACGGCTTTCAAGTAGACTACGAAATTTACATATGTTCTCTAATTTGCAGTATCTTAAGTAACTGAAAACAATAGCGAGCGCATTTTAGCCCAATAAAAGGCGATCATTAATGCCAATTAATTTTAGCATTTATTCATTACGGGTTTTTTTCGGGATAACCTGAAATAATTACGCATGCATTGGGTACTGTTGTTTTCGGGAAGGTCCCCAGTAGGAAACAGATACATATACAATGACTGAGAAAATCTTCATTTTGGGGCAAACGTCAACAGCAAATATTTTGAAAACTTTAATAAAACGAATGTATACATTAAAATATTCACATCACATCATGAAAATATTCCAGTGTCTATCCATGGCATGCAATTTATTTACAAACATGAAGAGCAAAATTGCCCAATGAGGTAGATATGGCCTGGAAACCAGTGAACTGCGGAGTTTACTTAAGTCTCTACGAAGCAGCAAAAATTCGAAGGCAATGTTATTTTTACCGTTTCTCTCTCGTTTTAATTGCGCTCTAGATTCTTTCATAATTTCACAGTTTAACTGGAATAATTCAAGTCACATCTTAAAAATAATTCCGGAAGTATTTTGATCGGACGCGATCTTTTCTAATAAAAATTAATATGCGTATTTAACGAGTCTGCTGGCAGGTCAAATTTTTTATAGAGTTTCGGAGCATATGCATATTGATTCTGGCGATATTCCAGGAATTACAAGATTCAACTCTTCCTAAATTGCTCGTTGTTCTCCACGCTATGTGATTTGAATTCTTGATCTGTTAACTCGTCATCCTGAAACAACAGGACAGGCTTGTCAAAACAATGATAGTTAGGTAAAAATACTCTAACAATTATTCATTACACTCACATCGATTTCTTCCTCGCTAAATTCTTCTCCACACATGTTCGCATCCGTGTTAAAAATATCCAATATTTCTCGGTGGCTGGAAATATAAAATTGGTTAAAATATATAAAATGTAGACTCGTATATAAGCGAGATGATTTTCTTGTGCTTTCCCACAAATATACGTCGTATTTTCGTCGCGTCGAATGCAGCAATTCAAACAAAAGATACTTGATAAGGAAATGAACCTCATTAAGCTTTATTGCCATCTCATTATCTATTGTTTGAATTGACGCGACCAAAATGCGACGTATAGCTTGACCTAGGCCTAAGTTTCATTGTTGATAAAAAAATCTTTTGTTCCTGAAATCCATTTTGCCTTCAAAGATAAAAGTCAAGTACTCGTTCATTTGAATTGTTTATTGTCAGATGTCATTTGTGTTTCACAGTTGATTACATTCCATTGCCGCGAGACAATCTTTTGATTGCTTATAATTATGCGTAAGTATAATCGGCCTCTTTCATTTTTCCTATTCTCCTTGGCCTTACAGACGAACAAATATTTTTATGACAAATTTTCCATGACAAATTTTATTTGCTCGTCTGTATACAATCATTTATCAAAATTTTCTATGACAAATGCATTTGTTGAAAAGACAGGCATACAAGCTAAGCTAATGTATGTAGAATGATTGCATACAGACCGCAGACGAACAAATACCACAATTTATCAAAGAAAATGCGGGCCAGGTGTAAAATATTGTCATAATGTAGACAAAGTATTTGTCAAGAAACTTTGCTTGTCTGCGTCGTGAGGGGCTTCATTTTCTTTTTCACAGTCGACTGACATATACACGAAATGTCAAAACCTTTTCTCTTGCGTATTCTCTCATATAAAAGGAAAAACTAAACTGCCTATAATAGAAATTCTACGAATTCTACAGTGTACGTCTACGAACTATCTTCCCCAAACTTTTATTTGAGCAAGCACTGAAAAACTATATGATGATACTCCTGGAAAAAGTACATAATTCACTCACATTTCCTCGTATTTCCCTTCCTTTGACTGTAAACACGTTTTCAGATTTTTTATGTCTTCATCAACCTAAAAACAACGTTCAGGCGCGATTAGCCGAGGCAATTCTCTGCGAATTCACTTTTTGTATTCCTGTGATGGATTTAGTTGCAAGTGCTTAGTCGCAAGACTAAATAACCCGTTATAAATAGGAAAATAGCCCGTAAATCGCAATGGAAATCGAATATATAATATGGTGAAGAAAATCAAGAAATGTGCTGGGCCTGGGTGAAAGTGAGTTAATACATACGTACCTCGAACGAATAACCAAACTCTGACCAATCATATTTCATGATCTTACTACCGTGGTTTCTGTAAAGGAAAAGTGTGTGTGCTTGAAAAAAATATGTAGATACATTCAGCATTAATATTATATAATATATTACAAACTTACTGCAATTCGTTCAACAAATTTCCATAGTTTTTTTGAAGTTCTAATAAATACTTTATTGGGATACCACTCTCACAACCCTGGAACACAAAATTTAAAAGTGGTTATTCGAGAGATACATGTTTATTCATATAGTTTCATACTAGCAAAATAAAAGTGTGTTTTTCAATATTATAGTGAAGAATTCAATTTACTTGCTTTTAGCATCCATTAAAAATTTCATTTAAAATAGGCAATAAATTAATTAATTAAAAAAATTATTTATATTTTATAAATTACCCTTCCTCTTTTGCTGATCCTCTCATGGCATGTAAGAGGAGTAGCATCAAGATAAACTACAACATCTGGAGGTGGAACTAATTTTAGCACTTGACTTCTTAATTTGCAGTAACGATCATAACCTAATAAAAATGCATTGGTGCTAAAGATTTATAATGATAACACAAATCATTCTCATTAAAGAATTACTTAGTAGAAGCTGTACCTTCTTTAGATATATTGCCATCTTCATGGCTTACTGTTGCAAAAACTTGATCACTGAATAATGAACGATCAAGCAAGACACCTTGACCTACACAGAAATTGAAAGGTAGATTTCATTTGGTAATTCCAAATATCCAGTGGCCATGTTCACATTCAATATTGTCAACTGTATTTCCTACACCTTAACACTTCAGTTGATAAACACAATGTTCTAGCTTGCAAGTAGTGTTTACCTGACTTTACTGCATGTTTAACAGCTCTTAAATACATCATACATCTTTTTCTAAATAACCATAACTGCATCTTTAATGCATATTTCTTCGGCTCTTCATAGAACTTTGCCAAATATGGATTTTTGTATGTTGGTTCAAGAAAAATCCTGTAATTCATTTTTCTACCCAGCTGGCATGTTAAAGTTGTTTTTCCAACTCCAATATTGCCTTCCACAATGATGACATGACTTTGTTTTGGGGTAATAATCTCTTTAGATGTTTCTATAGGAGGCATACTTTTGCTGATGTTTGCAGTTCTTGCATACTTTAAACCAATCATGTTGAACCTACAAAAACACCACAGATAGTTCATCCAAAATTCAAAAGAAACCATCACTATGTTGCTATGAAGGGCTGTATTTATCATGTAGAAAAAAGAAATGACTGGGGAATGATATCTTAATTAGTACCTAACTACATCTTCACCTACTAAAAGTGGATTGTAACAAGTAAGCCAGAGTTCTGAATGCGGTAGACTATTTAGTGTGGTGGATTTATACGGGGGTTTGAGTCACCCTGAGTTTTAAGGTTTGTATGTAACTGTGCCATATTGCAATCATGATACTTTTAAGTGTTAGATTTGTCTGTTGCTTCAGGCAATTATCAAGCATCCCACCATTCAGTTTGCTGGATCCAACACTGAAATTCATATTCAAATTGACTTTAATATACTGAATGTAAATACTCATTTCCTCGCGGAGTCACCAAATGTTTAATTATACATATTTTAGTTTAAACACCACTTAAATACCTAGAAAGCAATGTTAATACTGAGACATTCAAAGGGATGAGATGTTAACCTCCCCACACTGCCTGATTCTGTACATGCAACCCTGGCATGCTGCAAGCCAAAATATTTATGACTATTTCTGTACAAGATTATAAGAATTCGTTTCAACGTTTCGAACTAACAAACCTCCTGAAGCAACAAAGAAAGCTCGCCATTTTAACACTTTAAATAAATGATATAGAAGTTCATCCTTTTATATTAGAATATCAAATTCGGTGAGCATGTTTTTGCTCTGATATGAGTTCCATGCAATGCCTTGTATCGAATAATCCTGCAAGTCAGAAACATCTCTCAAGTTAATAACTTTTCTGGTAGTTTTCATGTATAGCCATGAAAAGGAGGCCCTTAACATTCCGCCATGTTTTTGGAGGGTTAAGTATGAAGTTATCTATCAATATTAGAAAGAATATTTTATTGGTTAACAGGGAAATTCAAACTCACCTAAGCGTCTTCCTTCGAAATTCTTCCCGCTCAATTTAAGCAGCGCGCCGTACATGCACGTGACCACAGAGTATACACATACAACCAGTGGAGCCACTGGCTTAGTGCAGATTTCTAGGATGGAAGGATACCTCCAAATGGTCCAAAATAGCATGAAAACGGTTAAAAAAGCGCGCTTCTCGCATTTTCTAAGTTAGCAACTTGGTCTTAGTTTTATTCATTTGATTGACCTGTTTTAAAAAAGACGGTGCAAACGTGGAAAATTTTTAAAATTTAATGAAATTATTCAGTAAAAACCGTTGATACATAGTAGTCTAATAAAAGGTAAACTGTAAAGAGAATAGCTTATTTCTTTTGGGCTCTAATTGAAATAATTAAAATACTAATTTGTCCAGTAAAATTCTAAAACAGAGCCAACATTTTATGTTGCACCTGAGAGATATACAATGTTATCTAATTGTGTTTTATATCGATTGCATGATAAAGATTGTCCTAGTAACATATTAAAAAATCGAATACGAATATTATTTAAAAAATCGTGGGATTTTTATATAAGTATAAATAAAGAGACGGACTTTGCATCAAGGCTAGATGCCAGGTTACACAGCCTTGCTACTCGACAATAGTGTTGGCTACCTGCATTATACACGCGGTATAAATGATAATTTTCCCTCTTTTGGAAAGCGCACATAATTTCTTTCGATGATATTTCCAAGATACGTTTCTCTGACGTGGAGGTACTTTTAACCTCGATGAATTTTTCTACACTGTCCGCTTTGATAACAATATCATACGGAAGTCCTGACTCATGGCGTTCATTAACCCAAGTGACTTCATCATTTTTTTCATTGCTTTTCAGCAAAGTGTAGACACATTCTTCTCCCCAACGACCGATCTCTTCAGCGTTAGCACTTTGCGGCAAAGAGACCAACTCGGTACCTTTAAATGCAGTTTTCAATTCAATCTCCTCCAGTTCAACCCTGACGTCATTAAGTTCTAATGGACGGACATATTGAGGGTGCGGTAGGTGCGTGACGTCGTTACCAGACACTCGCATCGAGTTGTTAGCAGTATTATAGGTGACGTTAGCAATAACTTCTGTAGAAAATTCCGCGGTGTCTGGTTGAGACTGTACTATATGTATTGTGGGTTGACTAGGTTGTAAGTGGCTCTCGTCTACCGTCGTTTCGTCAAACGCCACAGCAGGTACGTATTTTGGCTGTATCGCTGAGTTGTACTGTGTCATTGGGTCTTGAAGCAACCTGGGATCATGCTGAGTTTGAGCCTGCGCTTCCGCTCTGGGGCTTACATAAGCATCGGGTGGAGCAGGTAGTGGCCAAGCTGCTAAAACCTGTTCTGTTGCAGGATTCTTGTCTCCTGATCCACTAACTATGTGGGTACCTGGAGCTCTTGGAGGCCAACATTGAAGGCCCCTCAGTTCCCCACTGGTCTCTTGCTGCGTCACTGTGGGTTGCTCTGGAGTGATCATAGTATCAAGAGAAGGGGTTTCGTCATATGACTCAGTTGTCATGGAAATTGGAACTGGCGGTGGTTCGGGAACCATCCATTCTGTAAGATCGTCTGGAAGACAGTCTAGTTCCTGGTCTTCCATGAATTCTTCTACAACTTTTTCCGATTTTTGTGTCAGGACATCAAGAAAATTGCTCAAGTTCCCAACATTCTCTGGAGGCACAAAAAACTTTGCAAGTTCTTTAATGAGATCTTTTGTGTCCCCGAGTTTTTCGTCAATCACATAAATTTTTAAACCATTACTGTTTTCAATGCCACAATTCTTTTTGACTGAAACCGTTATCTTCGGATGCGTTCGCAGACGATAGACAACTTCTAGTTCTTTAGAAGCGAAACACTTTACATTGGATAGAGTGTTAGCCATTCCGGACTCTTGAAGTTTGTCGTGACATACAGGATCTTTTGTGTAGATAAATCGTTGGATGAACGGAATCCAGCGAAACAGAAACGACTGTAAGGCGGGGCAATCCGACGACAAGCTTGAAATGATCTCCGAAGTCACGCATTCTGAGAGACTGCAAATATCACAAACTTCTCTAAAGAACTTCTCAACGTTATTTCGAATGCGGGAATTCTTCTTCTCCTCATTCTGAAATTCTTTCCTTTTCTCTTTACGTTTCGGTAGTAAACCCATCTTCACGAAGTGAACTTTTTCTTCTTTCTTTTTCATTTCACTCATATCTTCTTTATTCTGGGATTTACTTTCTCCAAATAGCTTTTTGAGAAATTTATCATCACAAAACAGTGGCTTGTCTTCCAATGACACCCAGTTCTCCTCTTCAGTTGGAAACACTCTCAAATTAAGAAGCTGACTCTTGACAAAATCTGTACTTCTTGTAGAGCCTTGGACCAGACACTTCGTTGCAATTACGTCATAAACGCGCATAATATTATCAACATTTGGACCACTGGCTAAAGAACTCTCAGAGGCGATTTCTTCCAGCAAGTTCAAGTACTCTTTCAAATTAGGACTTTCGTCGATTCCAAGAAAATCAACAAAAAAATTTTTTAGAACATTTTGATAGTAACTATTGAGCATTCTTCGAGGATCGGTCGCAACAAATTTTCCTTTCCAAAAAACTTGCATCAAGTTGGAAGGATCTTCCCAGAACATGCGTTTTGAGGGCAGAAACGTTCCACGAATCTTACAACAGCTGCTTTGAGATGGAGAATGAGAGGGATCATCAACACTGGGAACAAACACAACAGACTTATTTTTCGTGACAACCTCGAGGTATTTTTTTCGCTCGTCATTTGCTTTGATTTGTTTATCCAGGAATATGTAGACGTTTGTCATATGGTCAAGAGTTGTGACGAAACCACTGTCCTCATTCTCATGATCTTTCCCAATCCATTTCATTAGTTCGGCGACTAAGGTATCAAATTTCACACTAGTTTGGATTCCTAGAACTTTTAGGAAATTCTCATTGACGAGCGAAGGACCAGCATACAAAGCGTGGTCACCAAGTAATTCGATTATTTCAGGTTTGTGCATAAACGCATCACGCGGACAACATCTAACGAGTTGCTTAGAACCAGATTGGGATTTGGTCGGCAACCAGGATTTCTCCTTAAGATTTAGGAAGAAAGAAGAGGACGTTTGTCCAAGAACTTTACCTTGCTCATCAAGATAGGGCACATCTTTGGCGTATTTTGAATATATCTCATCCCAGTGTTGATCAAGTAGTTCAGCCAACCTCTTCAACTCCTCATCTGAACCAAAAGATAACAATGTTTCCAGTTCACTTGATGCATAATCTTTTACAATGTAACTTCCAGGAGTTTGGGACCAGAATTCTTTGAGGGATGACCAAACTGAGTTAGACTAAAGGAAAGTTAGAATTTTCAGTTAGAATAGTGATAACTATACACATTATATAGTTATAAGTATCTGAAATGTCACCATAAACATAGCTCACCTGAATGGATTTGCTCAATGTAACATCTTTTCTTTCTATGGCAAGAAAGTGGACAACACCCAGTGCTAATAGAAATTTCTCCCAAGAATTATGTAATTCTTTCGCGGAGATAAAGTAGCCATTATCAATCATTGTCCAGGTAACACCTGACGCAAATAAAATTGATATTAGATCTTCCTTGTGGAGGTACACAACTGCATAGTTATCTCTTTGTTTGAAAACAACACTGAGCATTTTCGGAAGCTTCGAGGCGCAGTAAGTTTACTGGAATGTACTCATGATTAATAACAAGTCAAGATTTGGGCGCGTGTAATAAGATAATGTAAAATTTTATTAGTGTACAGGCTAAGGCTGCCAGATACTGTTCTAAATACAGGCAATCTAGGAGTTCTGCATTTCTGCTTGTTAATAATTCACTCGTTTTCAGTTTGTGGAGGCTTGTAGAGGTTCGATTCTACAAACATGTGACGCGATGTTCCCACCAACAATGCAAATAGTTAGTTTAAATGTGTGGCCCGAAAATTATGGTGAATACACCAGAACCTAAATCAAACATAACTTACTTGAAAAGTCTTTTTCAAGGTTTGTTTTATTTCCATATTTGACAGTAAAATGGACAGGCTCCAAACTAGGGTTCACAAATCCTTTATTAGTTTTTACCAACGCGCACGAACGCAATTCTTGCAGATCACATACACTTGGGTCTAAATCCCACTGATCTTTGATGTAAACAATATAGCTGAAAAGAACATCTGGACGGCTGACCTATATAATATTAAAATACTGATCTCAATATTTGCAAGTATCAAACAATAAAATTGCTATTGGGATGCCTTAAAAAATGCAACGAAATTCACTCAAACAAACGGAGCTGATGTCGATGATGTAGTTCCAGATACATCGATCCAAAGCTTTCTGCTAAAGCTGTATCTCCTAGGTTTGCTCATGGTAAATACTTTTCAACAATTACATAGGAAGCAATCAACTATTAACAATGTTAATATGTATATCTCTCTCACCGATTTATCTTGGGTTTTCTTTAGGTCAGGTATAATATGGTGTTTAATCAGATCATATGACGTCAGACATTTGACTTGCAATCTCTCAAGAAGTTTTTTCACTTCGGATCTTCTAATATCGTCCAGACTTTCTAAGATCAGTGGATGAAGTGAATGCAACTCTCTATGCACGATGTCGGCCGCTCCTCTTGAAGCTACATTCAGGAGATTATAAAAATTAAATCTTGACGCTCCTCTTGAAGCTACATTCAGGAGATTATAAAAATTAAATCTTGACGGTGTTTCTCAGAGAGAACATACGTTAACTGAGTAAAAAAACACTGTAATCAAAAGTATTTCTATTCGTGAAATTCCTACCCTTGTTTTTTGCATTTTCGCCTTTAATTTTGTCTTGAAGCGGTAAGAATACCGACTGACCAAAAATTGGCGTACACTGTCCTCTGGATAATGGAAAAATTTTAATCTGAGCAATTTTCTCCAACGTTTCATCACTACAATCTCTCTCGCGTTCTAAACACCGATAAACACCGCACAACCATTTTGCAGCCCACATTGTAAATTCTTCAAAGAATTGTGGGGTATCCTCTGGCTGTGTCTCAATTCTAAGTTCGATTTCGCTGGCGACGATTTTCCCAATGTCGATCAAATGTTGACAAGAAACTGTTTCAATCCCAAGAACTCTGCACAATGGAGCATGAAGATATAACCTAAGGTCAGGATGAAGGTAATACTTGTTGAGATAACGGTTGAGAATCTCGTCACTGATGAGTTCTTCTATCAAATAATCTTCAGCAATGACAACTTGAGATGGAAAAACCCATTTAATTTCAACTTCATCGTCTTCCGTCGTTTCTGGATGCTGCGTTTTACCACCGAAGTTAAACATGGAGTTGTTGTTTGGATGTTTGGAAAGGACTGGAATACATTGTTTTCGAGCTAATCCTGAATGAATGGTGTGTGTAACTGGTTTGAAGAAGTCTAAGATTTCTTCTTTCAGTGGGATGAATTGCAACAGTTGCACAATTGAGGCTACGCCAAGGAAGCATTCGTGAGACTGGAAAACAAAGGCTATTATGAAGAGTATTTGCAAAGATGGGACACTGGCTGTATTTCTATATTTATTCTGTAAGACGTTATTGCTTTCAAAGTGACATAAATTCCAGGATGCACGTCAGAGCCATTAATTGGCCATCCTGATGATAATAATTCAGTATCCTCAGTACAAACATACCACTGATAAAAATTCCACCGATATTGTAATATACTTTTTCGGGATGTAGATTAAGTAAATTGTAGTGAACTTTGCGTTGTGTGATTATATATTCTCTCGAGACTTGCTTACATACATATATTACCACAAAATTTTTAAATATATCGAGCAAATCGCGCGGAAAACAGCAGCATTTCGAAGTTCTCGTTATATTTTTAAGTCCCCCCGACCTGACCAAACAAACGTTTTTCACATTTACAAATCGAATATCAAAAACATGAAAGAACGAATGATGTTGTTTACCTTAAAATCATCGAAAGCTTGAACAAAAAGGCCAGCGATTTCCTGTCGAAGCCATTGATTCCAAGCACTATCCTTATCCACGTCTTCTCTTGATGAAGGAACGTCAAAATCAGCTTGGATAATGAAACGAAAACCATAACTTCGCAAGGGAAGAAACGCAAACACTGGATGATGGGCCAGCGACTAAGAAATAAATGTAGAAAATTCGTGTGCATGAAAGCCTCGTCAGTCAGGAATTTACAGAATTTGCACAAGATTTGAACTCACCTTTCCCTGAGTGAAAGCTTTGACATTCTCCAACGATATAGGTGCTCCTGAATGACGAGGTGGTAAAGGAAATGCTATAGCTATCTCTGTACTTTCAATATCGTCTTTCATCTAAATAAACCAAAAAAAACCCCAAAAATAAATAGAATTGAATTAAAGGATTTTCTTCTTTTTTTAAACATGTTCAAGTCTTTCCATCATGCGTTGTACGTAATACGTTAGGTATAGTACACTTTAATTTATTTCACAAACGCCAATAATCCTGACTTACAGCTGAAGCTGAGAGTTCTTTTTTTACCACAAACCAAAGGTCCACCCCCTCAGAATGAGTAATTTCAATCAATTTATCACCACAATCACGCCGTGACATCTCACGAGTTGTGTTGGAGGCCTACAAACAAAAAACAATCACACATGAAGCTGATTATATTTGTGGTATAATCTGGTCTAGTCTGTGGTCTAGTCTAGTATAGTCTGTGGTATAGTCTGGTATAATCTAGTATAGTCTGTGGTATAGTCTGATAAAAATAGATTTTACGGTATAATCTATAGTACAGTCTGTTATATAGTCTGTGGTACAGTCTGTGGTAAATCTGTGGTATAGTCTGTAGTTTAGTCTGTGATAAGTCTGGTATATTCTCTGGTATAATCTGTGGTATAGTATATGGTATAGTCTGTGGTATAATCCGTGGTATAGTATGGTATAAACTGTAGTGTAGTATGGTATAATCTGTGGTATAGTATGGTATAGTCTGTGGTATAGTATGGTATAGTCTGTGATATAATCCGTGGTATAGTATGGTATAGACTGTGGTGTAGTATGGTATAATCTGTGCGGGTATAGTCTGTGGTCTAGTATGGTATAATCTGTGGTATAGTCTGTGGAATTGTCAATTAATAAGATTTGTGGAATTGTCAATTAATAAGATAGTCTGTGCAATTTTTAACTTCGTATTCTTATTTGGTAAAGTTAGAGCTTGCAACAGAAGTCACGTTGGATGTAGTGCACACCTCGTCATGTATTTTAATCTTCCTCAGTCGTCTTAAAAACAGCAACAACGACGGCTGAATGTCGTGAAAACGAGCGATCAATGTTTTCTTCTGGGCATCTTTCATGTCGTCTTTTAATGGCAGGACAATTCTTGTTGTCCAGTCATTCAGAGCAGGGTCCGTCTTCGTTTCCCACCAGTGAGGAAGAATGTAACCTGTCGGGCCACTTTTAGCATCAAATCTAATGTGGTAGCCGTTTGAATGAACCTCTGGAGTGTCAGTAATTCTGAATACCGATTTGAAACCAATTCCCTTTTGACCTTATCAAAGAATATGAAACCATATAAGTATAAAGATTCAAAAAGCTTCAAACATAATACCGAAGAATCGCGGGAAGGAATTTCCTTAATCACGTGTATTATAATAACACACAAATATTATTAGCAGTAGAAAGTTTTTGAATAATTAATATTCATCTCAAGACAAAACACTTGCTATCACACGTGCAGTGACCAAAGTATATAATCACAAGAAAATACTTACCGATGTAACCAAAACGTTGCTTCCCTTTCGTGCTTTTCCCAACATCACATAATGCACGAATATTTCTTTCCTCAAATCCAACTTCGTTGTTAAAAACTTCGATCCGATCAACGTTGACAAAAAAGGCGATGGAAGGAGACGTCAGACTATCGTTGTAGCGATTATCATCAGCATTTTGCACCAATTCAAGCACAAAGTGAGTGTCTTTTGAGTACAACTCGCTGGATAATCTGTGTAAACCACGCCCTTCTCGAGATCTTTGGTTTTCCATCATTTGTCTATGTTCTGGAGGAAATTCAATGCCGATACCAAACTCATCGCGACGGATCGAATCAACAACAGCCTGGCATTCTTGTTCTCTTGCACTCGAAATTGAGTTCACTGGGCACTCCGTATATTCATCTACGAAACAAATTTCAATAGAAATACTATCAGGTAAACAACCAAACAATATTAATGCCTGAATTCAGACAATACCTGAAGGGGGAAATTCACATGTATCATCATTATTGCTTACGATTTCGTCAACGAGAGGAACATTTTTTTCATCAGTAAGTGATTCCTGAAAAATGCATAAATCGTGTTGGATATTTTAAGGATTTTTTGCACGTGCAGATTGTGATATTAATATTTTTTGCGGCTCTTTATATAAGTTCAATTCCTGCCAGAGGCCGCAGCAATAGTTAAATTTTCGCAACTGTCCCTGTTTACGAGGACTATACGATCATATTCGTCCACAACACCGCACTGACTCTGTATTTGATAAAATTTTGTGTAAAACCAGGGCCAAAACTAGCTGCGACAATTGGAATGGGGGCTGAATATTCTTTTGTTCATTTATACCTTTTCAAAAGAAATCCATACGCACAAATTATCGCACTAGTTCCAGCCCTGTGTAAAACATACTCTACCTTTTTGACCTGATTATTCAAATGTTCCAACTTCTTTTCTTTGATTTCCTCTCCCACGATGATGCCATCCTCTTCTTCCACGTCAAATGACTTGATAAATTCAAATTTCTTCATAAAATCTTGCTTCCATTCCAAGACACCGAAGTTGATTCCAAAAAAATGAAACATTGCTTTCTCATCAAACGTCTCACAATATTTTAGAACCATTTCTTGAGTTTGAGTATTTCCAAAAACAAACTTCAATGGCTCAATAAATATCTAAAAAAATAGTTTCATATATAAACCAAGCAACATCTATTAATCAGGTCAAACTGCCCAAGTGCTCAGGCCCCTAGCTTCCGTGCTCGTATATTATATTGGATGCCTTTTAATCTTATAACGATTTATAAACAGGTTTAAAATCATTACCTCCATTGCAAGAGCACAACGAATCATGCGAGGGACACGTGATAAGCATCTTATTGCAAAACGTATGACATATTTGGCTGATTCTTCATCAGCCTCTGCGTATAAGAACAAGAAAGCTTCTTTCATGTGGCTGGCTAGCAGAGCTAAAGGCGCCTTTTTCACTCCTCCGTACTGGAAAACCAATGAGACTAAATGACCTGAAGTTCCAATCACATCACCACGTTTGGCACATGTTAGGAAAATATCTGTCGACGTCAAACGCGTAATACGTAGCAAAGACCCTGACGGCGTCTCTATGGCAACGAGGTCACATGGATGAATCTCTTCACCCGTTTTGATTGGGTTGGGAGCAGATAAATTCTTTCTCAAAAACGACTTGATGTTTCCATATATAGGTTCAAAAACCATAAGCCATTCAGACCACGTAAGAAAGTCTTCCAATAGTGGTGTTTGGTACAGGCATACGAGGACATTATCTAAATTTTGATGCCCCAGAACTCCGACTTGATTGAATTTCTTGTGTTTGTCGTTGTCAGACCCTTGCACGTGAGCAGTGTCTAATGTTTCAGCGACCAAACATGCTTCGTAGACCACGGGTATTTTATCATGCTGTGGAATTCCTTGTTCACGTGCTCGGGCAACCAAAGCATCCAATGACTTCTCATCCAGGCTAGTACTCAGGTTTCTGTATTGCGCATGGACAATCTTGTGTAGTTTTTTCTGAATTGAAATATTCATAATTCATTTTATGTTTGTAGACAGTACAGTTTAATAGAAGATTGTTTTTATGAATTGGTTGCTTTTTTCTTGAATCAAACAACAGAAACAAATTCAAATGCTTTTTTCAACTGCCATACGGGTTAATTCTATACAATAATCCAGGAATGAAATCCAAGTTTGGAATGATAAAAATAACTTAATAAGGAAAGCGTTTTCAAGTTCCTAATAAACTCACTACTGAATAAACAGAGATGTTGACAGTGGATGTGAACTCGGTGAGTCTCGAATGGAGCCTCTCATAAGCATTCACAGTACTTAATTGATATGTACATATAATATTTATTTCTTTTAAAAAAAGAAAATATATCCGGTGAGATCTGTGTGAGAGATTAACATCGTGTAAAGTTTAAGGCAAACCATTGTTTCGAATATATTTCGAACCATGATATCTATAAACATTCTAATATTGTAAGCTTCACCTTTTCAGAGTCAACACCACATTGTTGTATTAGATCGATGACGTCTGATTTCTTTATACCAAGGAATTTATCATCAGACTGAACAGAAAAACAGATTAGAGCTTCCAACTCCTTGTTCGTTGAGAGAAATTGAATGAAAGAGCCGTGACCAAGTTCACTAAATGTTGTAAATCCTTTATAACAGTGAAGAATACGCTCTTCCACTCTTGCAAGTTGTTTTACATCAACAGATTTTGACGATTTTCCAACTAACCACCGCTTTACTTCACTGAATAGTTTCTCTAAAAATGCGAGAAAATATATCTTTTAAACTCAAACTAATTGTTTGGAATCCAACTCCTTGTTACCATGTATACTACAATATTGTATGATATACTTTATGTGATATATTTTTTTTCTTAGCACATGCATCAGTCCAATACGTATACAAAATTATATAGGCTACGTTCACACAGCATAAAAATTCCAAGTCTTTCTTTGTTTCAGGTACGTCTATCACTTTGTAAACAAGTAAAATACTATAATTAAGTCCCTGAAATAAAGCGCTGTGGTCCACACAGTCACTCCACAGCTTTCTTGCTTCCAATTTTCCAAACATACGTATGATTGCATGAATAAGCCGGAGTGTTATGAACATGTAGTACTTACCGTATTTGGGGCAGGAAATTCCCGCCCTCGCCTTGCCAGATAAGCTTTCGTTCATTTTAGTCTGCGATGCCTCTTTGTCCACATCAACTGTATTCTTTGCCTCGTTTTTTTGTGGAAATTCCTCGACAGGTTTTACCAAATTATTGCAAGCTTTGTGTAATGCTAACTGAAACAGTTTGCGGCTTGGTCTATCGTTGTTACACATCATAACAAACTCAGTGACTTTTTTCTTAACTTTTCCTTGAAATAAATCTTCACAATATGCAAAGAGTTTTTGCAAGATTACAACTGGAGAAAGATCTAAAAATTTGTTTACTAGAGCATCAGGATCGCTTTTCGAAGACCCAAGTAATTTTTTCTTCTTTTTTGCCATCTGTTGCTCTATATCGTCAGCAATTTCATCCATCAGCTTTTTCTCTGCTTCCCTTCTTGTTGCACTTTCAGAGGAGCAACAGCCTTTAATACACTTTAACAATAAAGAAACATACAAAGTTTCAAATTGAATTAACAAAGTTATATTATCATTTAATACGTTTTGATACTTCACGTCACAAACATTCTCAGTCTTACTCTCAGTGCCATAATGACTGATACGAGACGGTTCGAGATGGCTCGATCTAATACGAGACGGGGAATGGTTATGGTGTAAACTTCATAATATAACACGCTGCCTAACTACTCATTTTCATTTTCAAAGTTTTTTTTCCTTTCATTCAATGCTCACTAAAATCTTTAGAGTCTTTAAAGTTGGCCTTTTTTCTTTTAATATAACCAGGGAGCAGCGTGGCAGCGTCTTCGAACAACTTAGCATCAAATGTTTTATAACAACTGGCTAAAATGTCTGTTTTGTCTATTTTAGGCAGTTGTTATACCACATTTGATGCTAAGTTTTTTCTTTTAACCCATATTTTCTACATTTCTTATATCGTCAGGTCCTGGAGAAATCTCCGTTTAAAAGTTACTGTACTGACGTAAACAGTCAGACTCGGCAGAGTCAGAGGCCTACCTTAATTATCAACGCAACGCTACCAATTTTTACGCCAAGTTCATATGGTGTTTCACAACTCATCTGTTCAGTCAAGTATTCAAGAAACTTGGTTGTATCAACTCTGTTCGTCCAGCCATTCCTTCCCATAAACAATTTTAAGTATTTCATAACTCTCAGTGTCGTGATCTCAGGTGGATCCAAATTGGATGGAAATCTGAAATGCTCATAAACTAGAGGATGTTTAACCAGAGGACCAAGCTTCAAGTCCTGATAATCCTCAGCTCCAGAATAAAGACTTGCTAGATATTTTCCAAGTTCATGAAGAGTTGAAACTGAACGCACCATAACAAATGCTTGAATTGATGCATTGATCTGAAAATGAAGTAATCAGTTTAGAAATTTTCCATTATAATAGGGCTACAGGTGACTGTTTCTTGAGAATCCAGGATAAGGAAAAGTCATCCATAGCAGTGTGCAATTCAGGGTTGAAGTAAAATAAAATATAAAAGACTGTAAAATATCTCTTTATAGCCCCACATTTCTATATATTCATTATAAATACTGGTTAGTATAATAATTTATTAAGTATTGTTACTTAATGTCGACTGATAACCAACAAACACTACTCCTGTTTGGTGACATGCACAGTAGTGGAACTATCCATCCTGGGGCTGTTAATTAGGCAGAGCATCATTGCAAATCATAAACATATAGCCAGAGCTTAATTAGAGCTGTAGTGAAGGGGGGTAATGGGGGCTGGTTAAGTTAACCCAAGGTCCAATATTTCCTGAAAAACCATTTTATTGATACTTTTCATAAGGGAGTATTGGGGGTAAATGTCAGTGAGGCAATTCTGCATTTCATCTTATTTTACTATTACAAAAACCTAGCTACTAGAAAATTATAAGTTCTCAATAATTAAATCATTTTTCTCTAAAATTGTTGGAATGTATAATAAATACTCCAAATTGCACAAGAGTGAAGACTTTGATGGGTTAGATCACAAGCAATATATGACCTGATATTCTATATTCCACTTACTTCACGTTGCTTTCTCACCAAATCTTTTACTCCGGGAATATCCTCTTTACGGTAGTTTCCAAGTCCCATTTTTGACTGCACTTGAAATCTTTCATGAAGACTTTTTATGACCATATCAACTTCAACATAATGATTCTTTGATAACTCATCTATTATTTTAGTCACCTCAGATTTTATTGCAGCTTCACTTGGAGGTTTTGCTTTTGAGGATATATCATGCACCTGGCGACTGGTTTTACGTAATGGTTTTGGGTCTGGTAAGGGCTGATATGTGGGCGAATGACTAGCTGCAATTGTTTGGACTGAATTTTGCAAACTTGGAAATTCATGTTGATAGTCAGTATCCTCTTCCAATGATTTCTTTGAGTAGCACCTAGTTGGATTTTCTTTTAATGAAGTTGGTAAATTTGGCACAATGTGTGTTGAGGCCAGAGGTGTCCTATTTATCTTCATAGAAGTTTGCATGTCATCCTGATGTGACTCTAGGTGTGACTCTGAGAGAGCTTCAACAACTGCGTCAGTTCCGGTTTTTTTGATATCACGTTCCATACGATTTTTAGGAACTTCTTTAGTTTTATCCGGCGGTTTTCGTTTACAACTCGGTAACCCAGCATTCCTCGACTCATCTTTATTTTTCGTTTTCAATTTGATAAAGGTAGCACTTCTTTCCTGAGTAACTTCGAAATCATCACTCATATGTTCCTTCACGAAATTTGCGATTTTTGTTTTTTTCGATATACTTTTACCACATTTATCCTTATATTTCTTTCTAATGTGGCTGGCGTCAACTTTACCACCTTCGCTGACGACCACATCTCTTAAAATTTCTACTTCAATATCAACATTTCGCTTCTGCTTGGCACCGTCTTGTCCGCTTTGAACACCTGCCATTTCGAAACTGCTGAAACAAAATAACAAATTCAAACAACCGTAATTAGTGTATTTCCTCTTCCTGGAATTCTACATCGTATTTCCAGGAAAAGAGTCGGAAACACGACCGAACGAGATTGAAACATGAGCAAAAAAGAAACTAAAGTACTAGTAAGAAACTGAAATTTTGTAATAAAACCAAATATAAGTTCTTCTCATCTGTCAAAGTTCTTATGTGAAACAATATGTGAAACATCAACTGGCTGGACAATCCATGATGATCCACCATCATTGATAGTAAACGCTTTTGACCCTTGACGTCATAGACTTCAACGGTTGGCGAGTTAGAACTCTTAAACGTTCCTCTCCCAGCATAGTAACTATATCACTTTGGAGACACAAGTAAACCCATACTTCCGATTTATCAAATACAATGATCAATTTTAAATGATTTATTTACACTACGTGCAATCAATTAGATACTATAATATAATTAAACTATATATTATGTATGTATATAAATGTTATATTTACATTAAATACGAAATGACGTCAGACTAAGGACTTCAGCTTCTTCCACGGTTTTTTAAAGCGTTCAAATAGCGCTTCTCGTACAGTTGCCGTTAGTTTCTTCATGAGACAAAGAGCTGATGCAACTTCAAACCACAAGTTATAAAGTAATATTAATTGTAAGTTACCAAGCCAATCAAATCGACCAAATTCTCCCATTAAGTCGAATGTCGTGATTCCTACAATTGAAAAAAAACCGAATCTTATCGAAATGCTACGGATTCTACAGTAATCAACTTTAAAACAACTGAAGAACTTGTATACATTACACAATATGTTTACCTAACATTCTTGCCAGTACAGGAAGTGCGGAACTAAGAACAAGCAATACAACACAATTTGCTATTACCTACAAAATACGGAAGACAAAGAATATAGAAAAAATATTTGTAATAATATTTATTTAATGACACTTGCCCCGACAAATACAAGTTAATCTTACATAAGAGTTATATATATTTTACTAGCCACAGTGTTGTAGGGTGCATAATGTAAGAAAAACAGTATATATACCTGTGTCATAGGCGTATTTTTTACAATTGGTGTAAGTTTAGTAAACCATGGAAGACTATAAAAACCCATTAACGAAGCAGCCATAAGATAACTTTGTAAATTGGTTAAGAAATTTAACATATTTTGCGTTAAACCATCAGTCTTTACTATAAAACTTCACGTCTCTTTTTCTGAGAAACGCATGATGCGTGCCTTTCCGTGGATGGGATTATTGAGATAGATTGGAGACCCCACCCCTCTTCTTCTTCTATTTTGCAACAAATAAAAAAATGATATTGTATTCAGTGATAAATTCGGCAATGAAGGAGCTTGTCGTATTTATTTTTATATCGTTGCAATTTTCTTTCACATTTCTTTAAAGGATACAAAATGAGTATGATTTCCAAGACCGCTCCAAATTTTCCCATCATTGACGACGAAACCTTCCCGATCACCACCTCCTTGAAAAGTATATAACACATTATACATCACTTTATAGAACATGTTTGCGATGCCTGTACTATAGTAATTGTAGTTGTGTAATGTGTTTTTTTTCTCTCTCTAGCTAATATAGCAATGTATATATATACGTGAAACTGGCTGTCTGTAAATAACCCCTTTTCATTCACTTACCGAAGCTCTCATAGGCAAAGCTTCATCCATCAAAAGTAAACTTAAAAAGTTCAGAGCAACCATTGCCATTGATATTGCCTGTTGAAGGATATTTTAAAATATATTAGAAAACAAGGTATATTTTTTAAAGGAAATGTAAGCGGTGCACGTGTGCATCCTGCGCAGATACAAATAGAAATAAAACTCACAGTAAGTAGAAGAAGGACCAGAAAGCATAACGGGTAAACCAGATTTCTTTGCCATGAAGACGCATCACGGCGACGCTCTGATATAAAAACAGAGATAAACCTCTAATAGTTAGTAACTAGCTATAAACTGTATACTGTATACTGTATATATAGGATCTTATCCACTGAAAATTCCACCAAAATCTACTGAGACATCAAACGATATCGATAACTACCCTAATAAAATCATACTAAGTTACATATAACTATACATATATAGTGTATCTCTCATGCTTATTCGCCCATTAGACGAACGAAAATCACAGGAGAATTGCAAGTGTAATGAGGTTATTGATGCAGTATAAACTAAAAAGAACTGGATGGATCCAAGTTCCACTTCCACTGTGTAGAATTTTCAGCCTACCTAACTTCTTTCTTTCTAGTTCCATTTCATCCAACTGTTTGTAGGACTCTTCGCGATCCACTTCAGAACGACTTTCACCATTCTGTAATCCTAAAACAACCAATGTTATAATCTGTCCTGAAATTTCCAAGTTTAATGTCTTAGTACCTTAAATATACGCATGCAGTTTAAACGAAACATGCCAATATTTAAGTAAGAAACTCCGAGAAAATATTCCTTTCAGAGGTATCATATCAGGTATATGGTAACCAGAGAGTAATTACCTTTACCATTAGGAATAACATCTGTCCCCCGTTTTCTTAAAGTTTTCCTCAATTTTTTATTGATTATCTGCTTTTCCATCTTAATGATGTACAACTCCTCGTCAATATCGCTAAGAAACTGACAAATAAAGAAAATAAGCCATATTTTTGTTTCGGGTTTTTATTTAATACAACGCAAATTACGAACTATAAACAGAATCCATTGAAAGAACATAACAAAAAGTTTAGAAGCGTTTTATCTTTAAAGTCAATGCGTACGTGTAATACCAGCGTCCATACAGACTTATTTACCAAGCGGTTTACCAAGCATTATATACCTGAGGTTTAACAACATATTTTTCAAGTACAGTGAACATTCTGGTTAGGCCGACCGGAGTGAAAACTACAAAAGATAATTGCTGCTGTGAAACATACAATTTTGGCTATTTTTAAGCGCAAGGATACTGTACCCTGGGGAAGGATACTGTACTCAGGGGAGTGTTGCTCCTTGACAAGACAGAAGATATGAAGATCCATTGCATGTGGGGTCAAAAACTATGAGGATATTCTGACAATGTGACGATGTCAAACTTACTTAATAAAGAGAAAACTCCAATGCATGAAATACAAGAATAAATAAAAGGAAGATATGGTAACCACAAACCTACAAAATAAGTGAAAATTAACTATAAGTAAAATGAAACCACTTCAGGAATCCTAGCTGCTCATGTGCACGTGGCCCAACTCATTGTTGCATCATAGACAGAAGCCAAATAAAATAAGGGATAAAAAAGAATAAATGGCTTTATTGTCATAACTTACTATTCTCTTTCTTGGGACCAAACACGTATTCACTGTTAACAATTCCTAATGCAACCCAAACAATACTTGTCACAACTATAACAAGCAACCCCAGTACAACGAAGGTTTCATATATTCTTGCTTTTATACCCTAGAAAAAGCAATGAGAATTAATGTTCAATGTTAATCCTATATATCATGTAAATTCAACATGCATTAAAACTGATTGCTGTGGCAGCTGAAACTCCTAACTAAAAAGAACATAGTTAAAATGGAAGTCAAGTCCATTTGGGATATTGGTTTTGCTCATAGCAATGTGAGGACCATTTAATAAAAAAATCAAATAAAGTGTTTCCATTCAGTACCTTTTTTGAGCCAGCAAAACCTTCAGACTCAATAAAGAAATATGCAAAAGGAATGGCCACAAACAGGGACAAATAGGAACCAAGAAAAACAAAATTCCAAAACCCTAGAAGTATAGATAAACAAGGCAAAATATAAACTATGGCTGTACAGTATACAAAAACTGTATTTCACACACTAGGCTAAACACTATAGATTGCTCAGGGCTGCAGAGTGGTGGCTCTTTCCTCTTTTTTATAGTTTATTATTTTTTCAGATGGAAATGAATCATAAAATAAAAAAGTGTAAACATACCATGAATTAGAGAACTATTCAACCATTTCACATAATAGCTGCTCTGGTACATTAAAAGAAGTTCATTGCTTACAATAGAAACTGGCAGTAATAATGCAGCACCAATTGACACACTCAAGGTAAATGTACACAGCCATAAACTAAAAAAACATTTATTGGCCACAATGAGACATATTACATATAGTAAGGGTAAGGATTAACAATTTATGTTCCAGTCAGAGCATTCTTAATTCCAAATGTTTTGTCTTCTAGACTATTGACTAATCTGACAGCATTAATGTGTTTAAAGAAAATAAATGATTATCTAATTGTTTGGTGCATTTGAGGTGCAATGTTTGACCTAGGTCATACACTAGAGATTTCAAAACTCAATAGGTTTTCAACAGCTTAGTTCATATTCCATGAACCTAAATTTATGTTTGCTGTTTGCATCAGTGTCTATTGTACGGGATGAAGTCAACTTACGAAATCCGATAGACCCAATCATCTTCAACATCTACAAAAAGCCAAAGTTAAAAGCCATAATTAGTAGGGGTTTTCTAAAAAATGACTGAAAATATTCACTCAAAGATGACGAATAAAATCATACAAAATTATGTGATATGACCAAATTAGGAAATAACCAGGCTGGTTACAATAGAAATGTTTTGACTTTTGACAAGTGTCATGCTAACTTTGTTTATTAAGTTTTCATTTATATGAAAATACTAACATACAATCCCTCAATATATTTCATGTTTCATATATTTCTTACCTAAGGCAATGACATCTCTTTTTTGTCGAAATATATTGATCACACAATAAGAAACCACATAAAGGATGATAAACGTCAAGAAAAATATCTGTTAAAAAGTAGAATATTCATAAAATAAGTGCTGGAAATTGTCTGAATTTGAAATGTTCACATGTAGAAAATTATGAAACAGTAACATTCGATATTAATGGTATTATGGTAAATGGATTGATTGACCATGGACTGTATTAGCACAGCGCAGCATTAGGAACTGATTTTTTACAACATATTATCAAAATTTGAGTTGTCACTTGTCTGGCACACATAGCTGCTGTTGCGGTAGTTGTGAATTGTTGGGAATACATATGCATTATATATATTTAAATGTCTGCTGTGGACACATATCAAGGTTTGTCACTTATATGTTAGAGGTAGATACTGCAGTATTGCATGGGTTAATATTGATAAGGATGATTTATTTATTTTGGTCAAAGAATGCCTTTCCACTATATATAATCACTGGCCAAACAGACTTCAAAAAACAACAAGGCTTTTTTTACACAATGCCATCTAGATATCAAATATATTATACCAACTGTGTACGTACAGTATTTTCTTAACAAATGTCAATCTAATTAGTACTGCGGGTCTGTAACAACAAAACACTATCATTTGATGGTCGTTATTAGCTACAATTATCAATACACCAAATGGCAGCTAAAAACGTACCGTATATTCACGAACTGTACCGTAAAATAACCTTTCTTCATCACTGCCATCGCTATTAACTTCTTCCATTTATACGAAACACATGACGAAATTTTTACCAGCAAGACGTCGCAAGAGGCGAAATAAACAGCAAACAAATATCTCTCACGCCATGATTCTATCGCTAAAGAAAAGACCGCCAACAATTCTTACAACGTATTGAGAATCACATAAAATTATTCAAATTGTCAAAACTAAAAATACCATTGAAATCCCATACAGCAACTGGCTCGATGATTGACTGCTCAGAAGTCAGAACACTGCTCCTCTTGCCCAGAACACTTGATCTGCGCGCGCATATCATAATAATAATATTGATAAAATTAAAAATTTCATTCCAAGACATAAAAATCTGCAACAAATAAAGCTAATAATTTTTCTCCGTTCTAGTAGGATATTCTATTCACTAGCTTCAATCGAAAACTACATGTAAAAAAGGTCATTGCCGTTGGAAAAGCTCATTTTTCTTTTTTTGGATTTTCCATAAAATTGTGACAATTTCGAAAAAAGTCAAATTCTGTAAAAATTGGCTCAAAAATGAATTTGGGAGCAACGGGAATGAACGTTGCATGAACGCCAATGTGCAAATCTTAGATAGAAAATCTGGGATTTAGCTGCTTGTTAAAATCTCAAAACGAAATGGCGAACCACTAACTGGTAGTCATGGTAGTGTATGTAGGTGAGAACATATAAAAAAAATATATAAAAGTTGAGCAAATTAAACACAAACAACCACAGCACACATTACAAATTGTGTATTTCTTCAGTACGCTAGCAATATTCTTGTAAACTATACTAGTGCAGCAACAATCGTGAAAACTAATAAAAAGGATACAATATCTAATTAACGTAATTTTCGTGATTTCTTGTATACAATACAATTATAAGAAAATAAGTATACTAATCAAATTATTTATGAATTTATCACTTATGCATTGTTTCATTCTATTATTACGCTGTAGTTAAATAAAAACCTGAAATCGTCTTCAGTTTCTATTTAGAAATTATGATGATTTTCAAGCTGTAAAAGCACTCTACTATGATACATTAATTACATTATATGGAATGGTTCCGTGCACATTCTTATCACTAAAATTGAAATCCAAAATTTCTAAACTTCCGGATCATTTTCAAACTGTTGGTATCTGCTAGAGGTAGAATCACTTTTATCCAATCCTTAGTAAGAAATAAAAAAGGAAGTATTAATAATGAACAATAAACAGTCCCGCAGTTAAGATTCAATTCACTTGCGTCAATTCACTAATGGCCTGGGGTTGTACGAAAGTCAGCCTTTGCAAGCATATTACAACGGCATTTCTACTGTAGTTTCATTGCTTTCCTGGCTCGTCGCTCAATTGCGGGATTTCATGTTCACATCGTAAAAACAATTGCTTTTAAAGCTGCGTTTACACTTAAGACCTAGACCTGGTCCAGGCTTACGTAGTGGAAACGCGGCCTAAAAGAAGTCAGCCGGGCGCATGACGAATATATTGATGATGCAACCCCCTCCCCTCCCAATTAAGCGTTCAGGGACCAACACAGGGACCAACACAGGGACCATCCTGGGTATTCACAGTAACTCACTTTTCATTTCTTGGTACTGTATTTACTCGTTGGGGAGCCGGCGTTTACTAATTGTGGCTTTACTGTTCAGTGTTTTAAAAAAATAGGGTTTACAGTTGCCGTGCTATTGTAAGAAAGTTAAACTTTCTATGACTATGTTATAAAATTCTACAGAAAACAACAAAAAAAACAACTACATTTTAGTTAATACCATATTTCTTGCGAATTTCATCTGTTTTCTCCCTTCTTTCTGCTCTTCTGCAATGCATAAATACACATTTATTCGTTAGAACATCGAAAAGGGATCACATTTCTTGCATTTTCTTCTACTTCTCACATAGGCAGGAAAATACACAGATCTACATACGGCTACAAAGATCATCGTTCCATCTTTACTTTACCTTTCTGCGTGTTTTTGTTTGAGTTCCAGTCGCTTGCGGTGAAACTTTGCTTCTTCATTGTTGGATCTGAAACCATGCAATGACAATGACACGTTTTTAAATCCAAACAGCATTTGTGGAATCGTGAAAGTAGAACTTTGTGTGAAATATTCTGGTATATAGTACAAGGTTATACATATCAACCCAGGAACAGCAGGAAGGGTTAACTGGACAACCATTTCACTAGTAATATTACCCTTCAGTGTTGTGCAAAAGTGCATGCATCTAAAAAAACTGTTGTATAACAAATAGAAAATGTTTTTTTAATATATTTCATTTTCCCCCAAATCAGGTTTGGTCTGGAAACCATTGACGTTTATCATAAAGAAATGATCACCTAGTTGGAGTACCCAACTAAACTGTTGAAATTATCACACAGAGATTTGTCCACAGGGAGGATGTATCACCATTACCTGGGGGGAGCCTACAGTATACTGTTTTGCAGGGTGTTAGTTGCAAGATGGTGTGCCCATTGTAAAGTTTCCAGAATTTTGCCAGAAAATACAGGAAATAGCATCTGGAAATCGTAATTAATCTGTAAGACTGTGTGTACAAAAATCAATATTTGCAATTTTACCCTCTTCCGCCTGACTTGCATTTGCAGCAACAACAATAAAAGCAACAGGAAATAGCAACAAGAATCACAAAACCCAAAACAGGAAACACAATTACCCATACATAGCCAGGTACTACAACAAAAATAGTAAAAATACAAAAATTAATCTTGACCTGCTATTATTATGTTGATTCTTAGTATAATGATTATTAGTTTCTTCTTTGCTGACATTTTGTGTATTTCTCCCCCTGCCTACCCCACCTCGTATGCATATGGAGGACAATTAGTTTTGAACAAACCTGTGCAGTTATCAAAATATCGCCAGTCAACTGATTTGCAACCTTTTGGGAGAAGCCCATCCTTTTCTATGCATTCCTCAGTGGAAGAACACCAGAAACACTATGCAATGTTTAATATAATAGAAAATTAATAACGAAATTATGTATTGGGATATTTATTAATTGATATTAGAAAGGTGGCTGTTTCGGGCATAGCCTAGATGGTAACTGAGATATATCAAAACAAGCTACTTGCAGAAAAAATGACTGGATTAGAAAGGACTAACCATCTAAGAAAAAAAGCCAATAAATTACAATTTCTTTTCAATTCCTGATTAGAACAGACATCAACATAGATAGATATATTCTAGCTATAAATACATGTAATTTGCAAAACTTATAAATTTAATCCCTGAATGCTGTACGTCATTTTTTAAACCAAATAAAATTCCTAGATGTTTTGCTTCACACTACAAGCATCATACTACGATAATGGGTACTTACGTCTATTGTTACATTGTTCTTAAGGCCCTTAAGACATGGATTACATGATGTGAAAATTGTACAGTTTCCTAAAAAAATAAAAAGATTTACTTGCTGCAGTAGAATAGCACTGCAATCTATGTACAAAACATAGCCCCTGTTTCCTCATATTGTCCTGTTATCATCCTGTTTGGTTGAACTAGTATGAGCTACATATATGTATAAGATGCCATCTGTAGATACTATATGTATAAGATAGTATAAGATGCCTGCCATCAAGAAATCTTGCCTACAGTATCTTGCATAGTTGATAAAACAAACCAATGCCAATGTTTATTTTATATTTTGACATAGGTAATTGGAACCATATTGTAGTTCTTATATAGTTATAAGTTAATTTGTAACAATTGTCTGAATTAGACAAACTAGAGAAAAAAATAGGACGTTATGTGTATGTGGGCTAAAGGGGAACATAATGAGTAATTTGTTGAATGGTTAATTGCGAATTGAGGGGCGTAGAAATAGAAATAAAAATAACCAGATGGGGTAGTTTGGAATTTGTTGGACAACTGCCAACCATGTGGTGTGTATGAAATAAAAATTTTTTTAAAAAGGGGGTTTTGTTTGTTTATGATGGAGTTCTTCAAGAAACTATGTAGTTGCGTTTGTAGTAATAGGTTGTGTAGCGTTATTGGTGGTGTTTAAGTCAAGGTTATGTAAGGAGGTAGGTAGAAAAGTAAAATAGAAGACAAGAAGGCAAGCGTGCGAATCAGTATCCCCGTACGCGGCGTTTCATCCTTTTGCGGACTCGTCAGCGGGGAGCAGGGTTGGCTTTGTGTGAAGGAACAATGAAGATAAGAAGTGAGTAAAAGTGGTGTGTGTTTGTAGGAGAATCATAGAGAATCAAGGTTAAAGTTATCAAACCTGCGTGAGAGTGTATTCGTAAAAGGCAAAATGGTAAAATTAAACTGTGTGTCTTACCAAAGTTGTTGTTGACTTTAGATAAACCAACGCGGTGAGCCATCTCAGGGTTGATGTGAAATCGAGTGTAATTTTACTTAAAAATTGTTTTGAATTGCTATTACAACATAATAAACTATATAGAACAGACACTTCAACTGTTTCACATTCATTCATTGTCGTAATATTGTTTGACAATCGTAAGTTAACGTAATGTAAAAAAAAATGTAGAGCCAGAATCACCAGGCATAAAGATGCTGAAGGATGGCAACATTACAGTATTATGGGTTAGGTGACTGATAAACAGGAAATGCTTTGCAAATACTGTAGCAAGTGTGCTTTCACTGTGTCGTATAAAAGGACCTGGGTGACCATGCGCACAAAGGGCATGTAGACTAGTTCCAACTCTGTATCTGTTATTCACCAAATAGTTGATAACCAATGGTCAACACATTCACCCTGTTATACAGACACTATATACTGTTTAATTTGTTTACCCTCAGTAAGAGCAGAGGTTTTGAGGCCGCTTGTCAGAGATGAAGCGATATATGTCAGAACGAATCTAAACTTATCGTATTGCTTCAGACGGAATATACACTAAAATTATCTAAAATATCGTTTCTAGTTTTACCTTTGCCTGCTTCCGCATTGTCTAATAAGAAGAAAATAGACAACAATAATCCAGTAAGCTTCAGAGAATTCATGTTGGCTGTAAACGTCGTTAAATCACTCTTTCTGTGCGTGTTTCCGTCCAAGAAATTATCGAGATTGAGAGATAATTTTGTTCCATAATTCACTCCCCCCGGCCCCCTCCCATTCGAGTTGCGCCCCCTCCCAGTCAAGTAGGACCAGTGACCCGTTTCTCAAAAGAATCTGGGGACGAGTTGCTTGGAGAGAAAAAATGCAGCTGCGTCAGTGCAGTGTTCCGTGTTCGCTCTGCACTTTCCTGTTATACGCTGCAATTTTTCATGCAACTTATCAGCACCAAGCGTTATACAATATACAGAGAATAAAACAGCTTTGTGCCAACAATTCAATGAAAACTGGCGAACTGTAAGTCGCGCAATTCGTACTTAGTAATCGGCATTTGTGCTAAAATCATTGGGGCCCCCTCCACCTTGAGGAAGCTTTGCAAACGCCTTGCAGACAGAATCAGGAAGACAAGGTTTCAATGTAATGTGTTGGCTGATGATCTTGTTGTTTGCCTTCACGATCAACTAATGGATCTGTATTTGAAGGATATTAATGTAGGCTGGCACCGTCTGTCGACTATATGATGGTGGCTCATCTGCAAGCTTAGTTACAATTTCTTCTAGTTTGATATAACCCAGGGTGCGACACAGCTCTTCTGAGTGAATTTCTTCTTTAGCGCAAGGTGTGTAAAGAAGAAGGCTTAAGAAGCTTCTGAAGGCTTAAGAACTCTGGGATGGCTCAATATTGACAAAAAACTTTTCTTCAATGATTCCGTTATGATGTATAAGTGCATGCATGAGAGCACTCCAACCTACCTTACACAGAAGTTCAGGAAACGATCTGATATTCACAGCAGAGCTACAAGGCATGCCCAAGACTTCGATTTACCTAAATGTAGATTGACCGCGGGACAAAGATCTTTTGTGTTCCGTGGATCAAAACTATGGAATGGGCTCCCAGAGTCAAAGAATGCAAAAAATATTAATGCCTTTAAGAAACTGTTAGCAAAGCATTTACGAATAGAATGATTATATTTTATATGAGAGTGATTATGATTGAGAGAGAGAGAGAGACGATTTTTAATTTTTATAATATTTTATATTTGTATTCTTATACATTGTTGCTGAAAAGCCCTTCGCAGGGAGCCTCAATAAAATGTATGTATGTATGTATGTAAAGACCCGTTCACACTTGCGATTTTTGCTGCGATTTTTCTCATGCATTTGATAGATGTGCATGAAGGAGTAATTATCTCGTTCACATCTATCAAAACGGAAGAAAATCGCCGAAAAATCGCAAGTGTAAACAGGCCTTAAGTCTGACTTACCGACTGACTCTCTTCATGATGTACACATATGTCAAATCAGTAAAAATGATGCATTACCACTTGACCGATGGTGCGTAATCGCGGACATGAAATACTCCAACATATTTATGAAGATATATAAAACGTACTAATCGAATTCGGTACAGACGCTACAGAATGTTTCCTTGCAAATTGAATTAGGCCAGTTTATTTAAGAAATGTTTATCTATCGCTTTCAAACACACGTAGTGAAAGGCAGGATTCAGTTTTTTCGTGCCGTGACAACCGTGAAAAATGGAATGGTCAGTTTCAGCGGATTAAAAAACTGAAGGAAGTTGTGATGTATTTATAAATTTCCTGCATTTGAAGGGTCATTGTCTTTGGGACATAAATCTGGTCATATTTGTTGTAAAACATCTAACTTAAATATCTACGGCCAAGTTCAATGCGGTGAATTTGCATGTCATCAACTCCAAAAAAACATCTTGGCCTTGACGTTAGTCTTTGACCATGTCAGCCATGTCTACATGTTCCTGGTTGTTTAATTTCATATAATATATTACATGCTTAATGCCTTAATTAAAAGGTTACACCGCTGTCACCATGCCAGAAAAAAAGATAAAATAACCGAACACACGTCAGAGGATTAGCGCGTTTAGTGCTGTTAGCATTATAGCATTAGCATTAGGATTAAGATTAACTTTGTTTATAAATTTGACCTGTTACTATGGAAATAGTTCTTATTATATATCCATATATTGTGTATATTGGTTCCCTCTCTAAGACTAAGATGTCTTTCAGTTTTCAGGGGAGTCTTTTCTCTTTGTTTTGTTTTATTTTATTTTATTTTATTTTATGCAAAAGATACACAGAAAGCAGTAATTTTAAATAGTATGTAAGCTGCTTTTGATATGCTTTGTCCGTATTGATAGTTCCGAGTGTATATTCTATATGCTAAATACGCTCTCAGTTTTCAATTTTACAATTTTATCGTGTCTTTTGAGACTGGAAGAATAAACTAAAGCCAAGAAACTGAAGAAAGCCATGTGGTTTCTAGTAAGCTTCTAGCCAATTTCTTTCCGTATTCTTTTTATAAAATTCCTTTTTTCCCTCTTTTTGGAGGACGAAATGAAATAAGTAGAAAATAGAAATTGCGTCCAGGTATTGCTGACGAGAAAGAGCATGCGCATAGAGCGAGAGAGCATGTGATATCATGATGACACATGATGACACTGACCATGTCCACTTGTAACAACAGATCTAATATAGCAACTACATACATATCAATAAACACCAGTTAATGAATCGTGAATTGTAGAAAACAAACGGAACTTCGAAATAGATTCGGTGTAATATACAGTTGCAGTTATTGCGAGTATTTAGCCTGTATAAAGCCATAACAAGAAGATTTCTTCTGTATGATGCTGGGAAGTTAATCTGTCTGGTGCACGGAATTGTCTTTCCTCTACTCCTTCAACGTACGCACGTAAGTTGATTAGTTTAATCCTTTGTGGATACGTTTTGCAATATTCAGTAGCAAATTATTTGTATTGAATCTATATTGATCTTTCTCACATTTTTATATTGAAGTTTATATTGCTTTTATCTGTTTGCATATATGTACATATAGCGGGATCATCAAGATGTTAGCGCGTTCATACGATATTATGTTTAGAACCATCTTACGCGCAAATATGCGTGTTGACGAACGTTTGACACGTAAAATGCGCATGAATGTTGCACTGCATGGTGGTGCATGCAAGATGTATGTTCTTTAAAAACGCCTAACGTGAGATTGAGTTAGCTTAGAAGCATCTTACTATCAACAAGCTGTTATACTGTATCCTATATATGTACCTGCAGTACGTTCACCGAGGGGGAATCGACGACGTTATAAATCCTAGGAAGTGTTTGTTTGACTGATCCAATTTGATGGGAAAACAAAGCAAATTTTTCTACGCTTTTTTTCATTTGAATATATTGAACATTGCTGAAACAGTCGATGTTATACTATACTTACAAAACGTCTGGCAAAAAGTACACCTGTTTGTATGTTTATACATATCTACACTTCCATCTATGTCCATGTCCATGGTGGCATAGGTATATAATGCGGAAATTTGTGATATGATAATTGCCTAAGACACTGCCCGCACAGCATGCATGAGAATCTATATGGTGGGTTTTTGTTACCGCTAAAATACCTGTGTACTGGAAAGCTAATGATCATGTTTATGGAATGTATGTTGTAAACACTTATAGCAAATAACGTAAATATATGTGAATATGATATGAATAGATCGACGAGCATTTCTCTCAATGACAAAAATTTCTTGCATGTCTGTGCACATATCGTTAAATACTTTATGAAGGTGTTATCAAAATATTCACAAATATAGGATTGATATAAGTGAAAATATAGTAGCTATATGTGCGACTTTCCTGAATGAAAAATATTATTCTATATTTATCAATATTCCTGATCACATGCGCGTTCATTGACACTCGCGCCGGCGTCGTCAGAATAAGGGGGGAATAGTTCCAACTGACCAGTCTATATTCACAAGCGTACATGATGCACTTAGAACTTAGGAAAATAATTAGAAAGAATCATTGAGTGAATCTCGCCTACAGTGATCCTAGGATGAAGGATCAAAATGCCTGAAGCAAAACAGGTCGAGCTGAGGAGGATAATGTGTATACTTTATAAGTGGAAAACCTGAGTCAAACTTGTATCGTCTTGGTGGCGCTTACATTACGTGGTTGACAGAAAATATTTCAGTGAAAGACGCCTGCGAATTTCTCGGGATCATGCATACAGTATATATATACTATAACAGTCGGCTTATAGTATATTAGTAGGAAAGGTTTCTCTTTAATAGAAAACATACGGTCGAGCATATATATGAAAGCTTCAACTGTCTTCTGTTTCGTGATGAAATCGTTTAGAAATATAAAACACTGTATGGTATTTCCTTATTTTATATACGAACTACCATTCATAGTTTTAGTATGCCAATAGTTTAATAATACTTCAAAAGGCGCGATATATGAGCTACTAAGTATACGACCTCTTATCTTTTCATCACTGCCAAATAATTGCATAATTGTGACGAACATTTTTGGGAACGGTCCAAGAATTTCGATACTTTGATTTAAGCAGATTTTGGGAAACATATAATTTATAGCATTATATGGCTCGATCATGCACGACTTCGGAATTTTGTGATTGATTTCGAGCTTTAGTCTGAGTTTTCAAATTTTCGGAATTTAAGGATTGTACAAACCTCATTCGAACTCTATAAGTATACAAGCTCTTATCTTTTCGTCACTGGCAAATAATTGCAGAATGACGAATATTTTTGGATTTGATCCAAGGACTTGGATATTTTGATAGCTATAAGCAGATTTTCAAGGATATTTTATTTTGGCTCGATCGCGATTTGAGGCGTTTGAAATCTTTCTATACGCCTGGAGGTTTCTTAGACGATATCTATATATATATTCCATCAGCAATTAATGTATTTTTTTATTTTATTTATTGTTATTCATTCAATGTACTTTTTGCTTCATATCGGCTAGTTTGGTTTACCTTCTAGACTTCCAGTCTTTAGTACACTGGAAAACAAGGGAGTTTTAAGCGTAATACCTGATGTATGGTGTTTTGAGGTGGGCTTCTCAAATCTTTACATTTGTGAAAGACACGTAATTCTATATAGCGTAATATTTCTCTCCGAATGCAATGAATGAAAAGAGATAATGCATTAATCGCATAAGATACTGAAAAGATCC